TGCACCGTAGCCCGAAGGGCTGCTAAGCCTCTGAGCGCTTGGCCTTGCAGCTGTTCCTCGGTGGTGAGAGATAGCTGGCGCAGGCGTTCCGGCTGCGTACAGGCTCCCGACAACAGGTGGTCGCGTAGGCCCTTCCATTGATGGAAGGCCTTGTCGCATGCGGAACATACTGGTAGACCGTCCCTGGAATGCCGACTACGATCAAAGGAAGGAGGAATGTACCTCTTTACTTGATCACGATGCATCCTTGTGATGTGCATATGTAGACCATGCGCAGAGACAAAGCCAGACGTACAGTGAGGACAGTCATGCAACCGCTGCTGCGAGGCCTCGGTGCTCGCCGGAAGATTGTCCACCTCGCGTAGTATGTCCTGTAAGTCCTGTAGGACATGTCCCAGACACGTGACATCACCGTACACTGCCATGTCGGTAGTGTTCGAGCCTGTGACCGAGGCCGGCGCGTCAGGACGCAGTCTGGCCCACGGGCTCCGCTGCACCGTTGGTGCACTGGAAGTAGTCATCCGCGGGACGGAAAGGTCAGCTGCGGGGGCAGGGATGTCGGGTCTTTTGCTCAGTCTTTTTAGTCGCGAAGCCATCCGAGCTCGGATTTTTGCCACCGGGTCCTGAATCGAATGCAGCTGATATAGGTCCGCTGTGGAGATGCGGCTGACATGGACAGGCTGGTTAAGTACGGAGCGTAGCTTGTGTGCATACCAACCTCGGAGATGCCGGGCTGTTTCCTCCGTGAGGCCGACTTCAGGAAGTCCTGTGACCAGAGTGGCCCATACGGTGGTGAACCAAACCTTCAACCTGGCCATTGGCCCTGCAGTTCTGCGGTTGTAAACAAATCGCTTGACCTGCTGGAGCTTTTTGGCAGCTTCCGCTATACGGAAGCGCAGCGTTTGCATTTCGAAATTCCCATAAGAGATTTGAATGCCCAGGTACTTGATTTGTGTTTCAAGTTTGTAGGCTGGGAAGGACTTGTGTTTGCCCAGTCGCCAGTGACGCTGGAGTTTGCCGTCTTGGTCGGGAAGCCAGCAGGTGTGCTTCTGGAGCGTGGCCTCTGCCTCTCTGCCACTGAGTTTGACTAGAATGGCACATTTGGTTGGATTGACTCGCAGGCCTAGTTTCTCTACCTCCGACAAAAGCTGTAGGATCATTTTGTGAGCTGCGTCCACGTCCGCTTTGCTACGGATTGTGCGATGCATGGTAAAGTCATCGGCATACCCAGTGAAGTATCTGCGGACATTGTCCCAGCCAAATGTGTCTATCAGCCTGTGCAGAAGACGGCCTGTCAGAACGGAAAACAATGTAGGGGCCAGCTTGCAGCCTTGTTTGATGCCGGTGGTGGTTTCCACATCCTGGTGCGCCCCTTGTGAATGGAGCCTGTACTTGGATCGATGATGCAGGCCATGTATCAGTTTTTGTAGGGAGGGATCTGCGCCTAGTTCATCAAGCAGAGACAAGATTTCGCTGCGGGATACAGTGTCGAATGCCTGTGATAGGTCTAGTGCAAAGGTAATGCCGCCTACTAGACCGACAGGACATTGTCCCCGCTGCTGATCCGCTCTGGTAAGGTTCGCAGTGCGACACAGTTGCCGAGCCTCTCTCAGGTGCTGTACCACTCGACTCTGAGCGTCGGAGAGACCCCGGCCCGGGAGGTATGCAAACTGAGGGAGAGGCTTCATGTATGGCAGCGTGAGAGGTTCCAGGAGTTCCTTAGCCGTTCCCGCCAGGCCTTTAGCATCCGGCCTGAGTATTCCCAGCGGTCTTAGCTGGGAAGGCTTGTCAGCCGGCTTGCCCGGTTTGGGGATCAAGCAGAGATCCGCTCGTGTCAGATCATCGTCTAGTGGCTGGTCCTGTGTCAGAGCAGAACAGTAATGTGAGAGCGCCTCGGATACCGGCTGTGCGCAGAGCTTCCAGGCTGCGGCTGGTGCTGCTCCTTTCGGAACTGCCTTTCCAGGTTTTATCGAAGCTATGTGTTTCGCCAGCTTGGTCTGCGGCAGTAGGGGCAGAAGTCCCGCGTCAGAAGGAAGCGGAGGGTGCGCTGCAAAGACCTTGGTGGCGTACTTGCCCAACTCTGCAAGTTCGTTTGCAGGGCTGAGTAGGAAACCGTTCGAATCCTTGAGCTGAGCCTTCAGAGCCGGTTTCCACGGGCGAAGATGCTTGAGAGTTTGGTATGCTAGGTGTTGGTCTCCCTGATTGAGAGCCTGGTCCACCTCGGCAAGGAACCGCTTGGTTTGATCTTTGCGAGACTGCTTGACCGCCAGTTTGTGCTGGTCGTATAGCAGTTGACGGGCAGCTGCGTCTGTAGCTGATGCAGCACTGGTGTGAGCATTGCTCCCTCGTGCAGAGCGCCACATTCTTCTGGCAATGCACGTCTCCGGACTTTCTGGCATTGCCACCGGGGTCTTAGGGAAAAACCTGGAGGAGGCTTCGCCAAGAAGGCGATCCCATGACGCCGGCTGCATGTCCGGAGTAAGACGGGTTGTAACCCACTCCAGCATTTGCTGAGCTGGCAGCGTGTTGTCCCTCACAGCCGCTTGCAGGGCAGCAGCGTCAAACTGATGTGTCTGTATCTGAGGAGGCGGCAGATTCCAGTGACGTACTGGCTTGACAGTCGCACTGATGGGCAGGTGCCCGCTTTTCTTCCAGCTGCCCAGCGGAAAAGCCGCCAGTGGCGTGGAGGCCTTGGCAGTGCCTCCGGCTGACACCTCTCGCGTAAGCACAAAATCAATTTGTGTGCGTGTGTCCCCCTGTTGGTACGTAAATGATGGCTGAGGTCGCCACGTGTTGAGGGCCACCAAGCGGTGACTCAACAGGAAGTTGGTGAGCTCTGGTTCATCAGGTCGCGGTTCCTGTGGGCTTATGAGCTCTGGACCTACCAGCCTAGGCTGCTTTTGCAAGGAGCTATTGAAATCACCTGCGATGATAAGCGTGTCTCGGTGTGGCACCCTTTGCACACATCTGCCAAGAGCTTTGAGGACCTGTGCCCTGTCCTGACGATTGTTCTGCACCTGCTTGGCCGGTGACCAAACATGTTGGTATACAGCAATCAGGTGGATGCGGGCCCCGTGCCAGTCAAACCTGACCTCCAGGGTTCTGCCTATGACATGTTCCTGCCATCTCACACCTTTAGGTTGTATGTGTGGGGACAGAAAGACCATTACTCCGTCCGCGCGTGTGGTCGAGGGTTCCTTGCGGGGCGGATGGGTCTTGTCGTCATTAGGCATTGCCTCTGCAGGTGGCTGTATGTGGGCCTTGCCCCCGCGTTGTTTACGTCTAGAGGCTTTCGGATCTGCAGCAGAGGCAGACGAGATGCAGTACCAGCCTGAAACACTAAATTCAGCCGTAGCCTGCCAGTGGGTCTCCTGCAGCACAAGAACATCACAGGTGTGGCGTGCCTCAGTGGAAAGCCATGATTTGACTTCCGACCATTGCTGCTGGCCAAGGTGGCCTGCATTCCAAGACAGTACACGGAGGGGCCTGGTGGCCTGTCCTGCTCTAGACCGAGGTGCAAAAGACTGGGTGGAACCTGGCCGCGGTGGGCAGTTGCCCATGCGCCTGAGGAGAGCAGGGGTCATGACCTGACCTCGGTAAGAAACGGGTTGCTGGCTTGCAACCACCTTCCTGCAAACATGCTTGAACGAATTCTTCCTGATCTGAGAATAATTTTGTGAGTGCACTGGGAGCAGCGCCATCCGCTATTTCGTCACAAGGCAAGCCGAGTGACTCCCTCCACCACGCGGTTAGTGGAAACCCTACCGCCTGCCCAGTGGGCCCGTGTTAAGACAGGGTACTGGGTCCAGGAATTGGGACCTGGCGGCTCAGACGCAAACTGTCGGCACATGGCACATGGCTCAGCGTGAGGAACCAACCCTTAGTCGTTCAGAGAGGGGCCCGTTTGAGACCTCTAGCAACGCAAGGTTGGAATCCAGAGCCTGTTCGAAAGCCAGCGCGAAACTTCCAAAACGTCTGAGCCGTGGCGGCTACTGCTACTGCTACTGCTTCTGCTACTGCTACTGCTACTGCTACTGCTACTGCTACTGCTACTGCTACTGCTACTGCTACTGCTACTGCTACTGCTACTGCTACTGCTACTGCTACTGCTACTGCTGCTGCTGCTGCTACTGCTACTGCTACTGCTACTGCTACTGCTCCTGCTGCTACTGCTACTGCTACTGCTACTGCTACTGCTACTATTGTTACTACTATTTTTAACATTGCTCTGATTAATTGATTATCAGCATCAGTATTGTTCTTGTGCTTCTGATATCTGTGAGCGAGTGTCAGGCGGCTCTACGGCAGGCCAGACATGCGGGAAGGAAGAGCCTTGTCGAGGGAAGTCTGCACTCTTGGGCACCACAAGAAGCTGAGAATAGTGTCATTGCAACTTGCTGCTTCGCTACGCTCTGGGCCGTTGAGTCGATCCTTGGGGGCATGTACTTATAGTATCATGGGACTTAGTAACTAGGGTTATGATTAGAGGAACTATACTTATAACTATGTCTAACCCCAATTAGGGTACTTATAACCTGACTTACTAAGTCCCATGATCCTCCAAGTAGCCCTTCGTGCCCTTCGTGCGTTGGCCTGGAGGCTTTTCCGGCTCGCAATCAGTCACCTCGAAGACGTGAGCTGTCACCGCAGCCAAAGCCGAGGCCATGCACAGCAAAGAAAGGTTTCCCAATGCTGAGACAAGACGATTCATGGTTGATACGTCGCCCTTTCAAATTGGCTTGCAGGATACCTGTGCAAACACGAAGTGCGCGTTTGGCGTCATCAGGTCGAGCTGAGGCGCTGAAGTATCAAGTAAGTCCATGAATTGCTGATTGGCGGGCTTCAATGGGGAACTTTGCAGCAGTCGTTTTGGTGCACTCCGTGTGACTCAACTTAAAGGTTTGTCCTGCAGAGCCGGGGGCATGCCGGCAGAGCTTTGCATGCTGTGGCTTCTGTTCTGTCCGTGCAGGCACAAGCGCCTGCTCGTCAGCAGGCTGCCGATGCACCCACCTACGGTTCGTGTAGATGGCTTGAATTCTGGCCTAGCCTGGACAAGTGTTGGCGTTGTGCAGGGTGCACCGCCAGCTGCTGACAAGAACAAGCAGGACCGACGACTCTGCATGTAATGTGCGCAGAGGGCAAGATTTGTGATGTACTGGCACGCAATGATAATGATACTTCCAGACGTCGAGCGTTCAAGGCTGTGCAGGCACTGCGGCGCCTGGTTGACCTCAAGGAGGTCATTTGTCAAGAGGCAGGGCCTTGCGGCTCTCAGCGAGCTGGGTGACCTGTGACTCCCAGGACAGGGCCAAAAGTCCGCAGCTCCCTGGGAGCTCTGTGCTGGTGCACAGCATCGCCAGTGAAGAGCTCTTCCCCCCCGTCATGCTGGACGACCTGGCAGGAGCCCATGCTTAGACTTGCCCTTGACTGAAAGAGCTATCGAGGGCTTACAGAAGATGCCGAAGGACAGGCGGCGGAGGCTGCGAGCACAGCATGCAGCCCAAGTGGTCGACTCATCTGTGCCTTCAAGGCCCAAGGCTTTCACCACCTGGGGCTTGCGCTGATCAGGTCTGTACTCTGCCGGTGCGGCTGGAGGAGGTGGTGGCGGCAGCTCAACCACGGATGAGAGAATGCGACAGGCGGTAAGTAGTAAGGGCTTGGGAAGTTCAGGGCTTGGGCGGTCTTCCAGCTTCTGAGAGCCTGGCAGAGACGCTCTGACTCTTGGCAGCTCGTCCTCGAGAACCAGGCTTTGCGGGAGGCATTCGGAGACACGCAGAAGAGGCGCCTCAAGTGCAAAGTTCACGATTTCTTGCAGCTTCTGGGTTAGTGTATTCACGAACCATTTGCCTCGTTTGGAGGTTGATGGAGCTGGAGGATGAGAGACAATGCTTCCTCGACGAGGGTGTCTATGATGTGGTAAACTCCATCTGTGGTCATCGTCCTAGATATCCTCACGTTTGATTGTGAGTTGGCAAAGGAGGGTGGGCCTGTATCGTTGCCGCGCCCAGGCCAAACCGGGCTTTCTCCCAAAGCGGGCCTTACTGGCTTGATGGGCGACGCGGACAACCACACCACCAAGACCAATGGCGACTCTCCTACTGTTGTCTGTTCCTCCTCCTTGGCCTCTTTGATACTTTCCTGGAGTCTTGGTGACTTAGTGCTAGCTGCTAGCAGTGTACGCAATGCGGCCGCGAAGAGCTTTCAGGTGATGCTGGTGCCATCACCTTCCATATTGGCAGGCTGCCGTTCTGCTGTCGCTGCTGTGGGAAAGATCACTGTAATCTCTGACCCCGCACTGTCAGTGTGGACCCGTCTGCTGACCTGCTGGCACTTGCGGGTTCACCGGTGGCTCCGACGCCTTCGGCTGACCTGTTGGCACTGGCGGGTTCGCCGGCGGCCCTGCCGCTGTCGCCTCTGCCACCGCCTCATGAAAGTGATCATCGCGCTTGTGCAGATGTGCCTTTCAAGAAGGCTCTGTGCAGCGCCTCGTAAGGTATTCATCTGCACCACGTATTGGCTCATGAGACATAGACAATGTCAAGAGAGGTCTCTCGCTCAGATGGTGGCGAAGAGGTCGGAGCAGGATCTTCGGCCAGGATCCCAGGAACTTCAACCGAAGCTTGAACAGTTGAGCCTCGGGCGGCGTATTCTAATGAACCGTCTCAGGTCAGCAGAGCTTAGTGGTGAGAACGACAAGCTCAGACGTGAGCTTGAGCGAACCACGAAGATACTGGAGGTCGGTGGGCTGAAGCACTCTTTGGAAACCGTACCTACCAGTCCTGCATTTGGGAGATGCGCGCAGGTTCTGGAGCAGCAGAGGCATCTGGCAGAGGACAAGATGTTGGCACTGGAGCAGGCCTCATCCGGTGCATCGTCGGATGCCGTGTTTCCGTGGGACCGATATTAAGGCACCGCTTTTCGAGACACTGCATCTAGTTCGGAAGCAGAACAAGCGGCTTCTCGAACAGGAGCATGCGGTGCTCGTGCGAAGACTGGCGGAGATGGAGGGAGGCAGGAACTCTTGCTGAATATCTGCTGAAAACTCCCTAAACTTCAAAGCTGCTTTGCTCCGGCGAAGTGGAGAAAGAGTCATTGCAATTTAAAAAAAAGCTGTGTTTTAGGCTTCGGGATCCAAAGGTGAAGCTGAACGAATGCTGGCGCAAGGTGCACGGTCGGAGCTTTCTTCCGGCTCCTTCGAGGTCGGAACCGCCCAGTCTCCTTTAGTACTTGGAGGATCATGGGACTTAGTAAGTAAGGTTATAAGTACCTTACTTGGGGTTATAAGTAGTTATAAGTATAGTTACCTTAATTATAACCCTAGTTACTAAGTCCCATGATCCTTTAAGTAGTTGTGAGTGGGATGTATAGAAGCAGGCAACTACTTACAGCTGCAAGCACTGACGACGAGTGGTGATGAATGCATACGCATAACTAAACAATTCAAGCAACCTGATTCATTGTTTGTATTTGGGTACCTACCCATGCACTTGCTGATGCATCCCTGGCGATCTATACAAACCCACCTAGGTGCGCATGGGCTTTATATCACATACCACAGACTGAAACACGGTGCCTGCGCAGACTCAACTAGCGACAGGAGAGCACTTCAAAGTCTGAGCCCCACATGCCCAATATTGATGTTGATACTTGTAGTTATGTTTATATTTGTGATGTATTCATATCTTTTTCAATTTCATATATATATATATATAAAGATATAACCAAGTGCCACTCGAGGATCACCCCTGAGGCTCCCAACACGAGTCGCACCCAACTTTCACCCCACCCTACCTACCCATACCATACCATCCCGTACCGTACCGTACTACAAACCCCAAACCCTGAACCCTAAAACATACCTTGCTTCTATGTTCCGTTGCATTCCATTCTACTGCAGTCCGTGACCTTGCCTTACACTCATTTCAGTACACGGTATGCACAGATACGTACATAGTAGTACAGACATGCATATGTGAGTACGTCCATGGCAAAATTATGGGTCTCCTTGCAATGGTGTTGCGCACATAAGTCTAGCGGCGACTGGATGGATGACCATGTGGTCTACCGCCAGGTTGCAGCAGACCAGGCAACCCTGCAGCCACGTTGATGCTTGCGTTCTGTGGTGCTGGTGACCCATGATTTTTCTGTATTGGTTCTCGGTGGACTGCTCGATATCTTGGTCCAGTGAAGCCTGGATCGCAGACAGGCGCCTCTTTCGTGTTTAGCAATGAATGGTTTGGGGTTTTGTTGGCTCAAACATCTGAGCTCATTAGAGCTCAGTTTTCCACAGGTAGCCGCCAGTCGTTTGCTTCTTCGTGAAATTCAGGTGCACTGGATTTGCTAGACCGGTTTCGGCCAGATTTGATCGCAGATTCATGTGAGCTCAGACAAAGCCGGTGTATGTGTCAGTGCACAGCAGCTGATGTAGAGTTGGTCATGACTTGGCCATAATGTTGGATGCTCATGTGCCCTTGCCAAAGCACGGCTCTGAGCAGTCGCAGTCGTCTGCGCGAAGAGTTCTGCGGTGTTTTGGGAGCCTTGACAAGTCCTGTGATGCAAATGGCTCATGTTTCTAGTACCCCAGGCCTGGCAAGGGCATCCCGGCCGAGTGGCAACGACAGTTGGCGACGCTGTCGGCTTTTTCACGACCGCTGAAACCATTGCAACGTCCACAGTGGGCAGCTCATGAAGGCTCTTCGCTAACGCACCAAAGGTGACATCATGTCGCTCCTGTAGCCCGAGGCTTTGCTCAGGATGCTGGCGTCTCACTGCCAACGAAGCCAAGGACAGCGGCAGGCCGGGCCCTGACACTGCACTTGAGATGCAGTCGTTGCAACATTAGGCTGCAGCTGCAGTTGCAGCTGCAGCCTGAGCCTTAGTCAGTGAACCAAATTGAAGATCGGGCAGATTGGCTCAGAGAAATCCGTCAGCTCTTATTGCCAAGGCGAATCGTCAACGATCATCAAGCTAACTCATCGCTCCTCTTCAGGTACTGTTAGCAGCGACTTCGCTCCATTTAGCCGCCAAGCGCATGTAAGCCCATTTTTGTACATTGTAGTATACTCTAGTTCACTATATCATATTATGGCATACTATAGTACATAATAGCATATTATAGCAAATTTAGCAAGTTGTAGTATTTTACAGTATACTAGATCAAGGGAGGTGCGAAGGCATGGCTTCGCTCGTTGCCGGTCTTTTTGTGCCATCTGCAGCTGGAAGAGGCAAGGCTGAGTTGACTGCGATGTCTGGGGATAGGTTTTCTATTCGGGAATGATGCGATGCCTTTAGGGCTTTTATAGTGAGAACAGTCTCATGCATTGCAGGCAGCGGTGGTGGAGGGGTTGGAGATCACTTTTGCTGTTCCCAGCGGCGGCCATCACCTCCAAGAGAGCAGCACTTCGCATCTGTACTCACGTCGAAGGCGGGCAGGAAATTCCGCAATCGAACTGCTGCTCCAAGACTTGATGACCTCCTACGGACGTGACTCGCATCTTCGAGTTTCTCCTGCGAGGTGCATCGGTATTGCGACGCTTTGAAGGCGAGGCGAGAACATCTTGCTGCCGTGGACTGCTTCTTCCGCGACTTGTCCTGCCTGACGAGCCAAGACTTCGTGTGTGAGCCGAGAAGCAAGCTTCGGCATCTGTCTCTTCACTTGTGCTCATGCCTTCCGAGGTGAGCTTATCGCATGCCAGTGGCGTATAGAGGCGATCGAGACTCAGCAGCGGGCCTTGCAGGCCGAAGTGACAGAGGCAGAGGGACTAAGCCGAAAGAGTGGTGCTTTCGTCGAACGTTAGGTAAATCCCTGGAGGCTCCTTCTGAAACAGCCATTGGTGAAGTTGCTCCGTCAGAAGCTGCGAGACGGAGATGGCAAACTTCGGCGAAGTCGTGCCTGGTGGACCCTTCATTGGTTGTTTATCGTCAGCGGAAGCGGCCCTACAGAGAAGCTTTTTAAGAGCCTTTGCACTCGTGCGTCTTATCCTGTTGGCACACTTCCAGGAGTTAGTGGCACAGAAAGACGCCGCCGTGGCAGCGCTGGAAGAGAGGCCGCAGGGAAGGTCTTCCCTCATTTGCGTCTTGTTGAGCATGGCTGCATGTGACAGGGCCAGCCACTACGCCCTGGCCGCCGCGGGAGCTGACAAGGATGGCAGAAGGCTCTGCCGTTTCGCTGCGGGCGACGCCGAGCGCCAGAGCGCTCTGCAGGGCTCGGGACTCAGAAGTGACATGCGGCCCGGGAATGAGTCGGCCAGTTCTGTCACTCAGGCTACCGCCGCCTGGCCAACGAGGTTTGCTCAGAAGCCTGTGCGGAGATGAGCGGGCTCCTAGAGGCGCCACTGGACGAGGCGGGAAGACACTAAACAGCAACAGAACACCCAATCGTCCAAGCCCTGTTTGCCCAACATTTCCGGAGCACCCCAGAAGCTCCGAAGACCAACCCATGCATTTAAAATGCAGAGCACAATTGCGGCGATCTGTGGCGGAAGCGCGAGCTTTTGGGCGGAACCACGAGTAGCAGTCAAAGTATGTGCGACGCCGTGGCAGCAGCACGATTTCGCGAGGCGGAACGGGAATGTGGCGGGAAGACGATGCACACCCCAAGCTACTCGATCTCGAATTTTGCCGAATTCCGAAACCCCTTTGAGCGGGAGGATTTTGAGACCACCGACGACCGGCTGTGAGCCTCGTCATAGTGTTGCCTTGATGGGAATTTTCGGATTTCGAGCGACTTGAATGATGCACAACGTGAGCACGGGCGTGTGCAGCATGATTTTCACCGAAACGCACGGTACGGTGACGCTAGCGCGATTCATGAAGTTTCCGCGCATAAAGTCTGCGTCCCCGGCGGGCCGCAGCGAGACTGAGGAAAGAACGACTTGGGCCGAAAATGTGCACAGCGGGAGCTGTGTTGCCTGTTCTGCCTGCTCTGCAGGAACCGCAAGCAAAAGCGTAAGACGCCCTGGCGGGGAGCAAAACAAAATCCCCCCAACTTTGGCCGCAGGCCTGGCTGGTGAGTCTCCTGAAGTCACTGGATCGGCGGCTGCACTTCTGGACTTCGGAGCTCGAGGAGATCTGGACACTGTGGCACGATGCCACGGCGCGAATGCACAACGCCGGGCAGGATGCCATGGCTGCCTGGAGGGAGATTGCTGAAGTCCTCGAGTCTGTTTGCCAACACTTCGAGACCCACGGTCACGAGCTCCTGATGCAGAAACCCGAGCTGCAGACTGCGGTGGTGACGTTCGCGGCGAGGAGTTTGGAGGTGGAGCTTGTCAACTCTCTCGGTCTCAGTGGCCTGTACGGAGGGGAGGTGTCGAGTCCGAAGCAGGATCAGTTCTGCACGGAGAGCCGCTTGAATATGCTTACGGCAGTTCTGGAGCTTTTGTCTCATTTGGGCTCCCTGGACCGGGTTGGTGAAGAAATCTTGTCATCGAGCTCAGCCACAGCGACACAGCAAGAAAGTGCTGTGATGCCGACACCAACCAGTCGAGCTGCTGTACGGTTGGCGAGCAAACTGGAGGTTTGCCCACTGGCCAAGTCGGGTTCGGAGATCTCCGCCAAACCGCTGCGATCAGCGGAAGAACCTTGGCTGCGGAGAAAGTCACCGGTGTACAGAAAGGGGCGAGCTTGTGAGAGTCTAGATTCCGCTGATCGCCTGCCTTTGCCAAGGAGTACTCGGAATGTCCGTCCCTGCGTGGCGGTACTCCGGGCACTTCTTTAGAATCCTTGCCGTCTGCCGCTGCTGCTGTCTGCTGGGCCACTGCAGCACAGGTGCCGCTTGAGCAAACGCGAAGATAAGACTCGTGGTTGGTAAGGATCAGCTGGACCTTACATGACCTGGGGAAGGTAGGGGAATGTAGGTCTGTGAATGCACTAGCGACGCAAGCAGGTGTAGCACGAGAGGTTCAGCTTGAGAAATCATGCAGGTCACTCCGTGCACGGCCTTGCGAGCCGTAGCGTCTGCGGAGGATCTACAAGCGCTGGGCAACGGAAGCCGAAGTGCATCAGTACTTCTGCCATGGCTGATCGAGAGCATTGTCGAGGCTGTTTGCACTGCAGCGACAACACCGGAGCCGGAGAGGTCATTTTTTGCCATTTGGCCCTCTCCTGGGCAAAAGATGACGGTGGCTGCCCTCATTCAAGGCTGCAGCGTGCTCGGCAACGACGACTTCGCGGAGGCCGTTAGAAGCGCGGCTGAGCGACGGCTGCTTCGACGGGAGAATCCTGCACCTCGAACTGATACTGGTAGCCAGGGAACGCTCCCGCTCCTGAGAATCGTGATTCTTGAACTGCTGCTGCAGGGTTTTCGTATGAAAAAGCGAGGCCGGAGATGTGGAGGAGGCCGAGGAGGCGGTGTGTGGCCTGGGCAAGACAAGGTCCTTGCAGCAGGTGACGCGGGGCCTCTCTTCCAGCTGCCCCTTGGCACAGACTTAGACTCGCCCCAGGCTTCCATGCCCTTAATTGAACGCGCCTTGGGCCGAAGCCGTAGCTCCAGTGAAGGGGTTCGTGCTGCCAGGTGCCCGCCTTCTGGATCTAGACACCCTGTCGGAGGAGGCAGAGAGAGCGAGAGCGACAGAGGGATTGGGATATGATATGTCATGTCGTCTCGCAAGCCTCGTTCTTCGGAGATGTGATTCTCTTTTGCAAGGACTGCGAGCTTTCTCCGAAAAGGTGTCAGAATCGGGAGCGAAACGCACCGCAACAGCGAGGGGCGTAGAGGGACGGAGTGAGGCTGCCTGTGGCCTACGAGCAAGGGCGCTCTGCACAGAGGCACCTTTTCATGCACATTTGTTGCAAATCTTTGTCCCTGTAGGCTAACAGTGCAATCAATGGGTGTGCGAACAGACATCTATTGCCTCTAAACGTTAACGGCCGACACGCAGTGCCGGGGTCATGCAGCAGACATCCTGACATCGCATCTCATTGAGGGGAATTCCGATTTAGATGGTCTCCGTTTGTCGAAAGATGCCGTCAGGCTCGCCAGTTTGCCTGCCGCCGAGTTCAGTCCAAGATTGTAGCCTATCACGGAAGTCTCAAACAGAAGATAAGCTCTGAAGACGAGGGTTGCAGGGCGAGATTCGCGGCTCGTATGGGCCTTTCTCCTGCCAAATCCTGCCAACCCATGCAAACTGGTGTTGCAGTCTTTCGCGAACGACGGACCAGCCGTTACACGGCTCCAGATTTTAAGAGCAAAGGATGCTCGCCTTCAGGCTATGAAAAGAGTGCTGTGAAGCTTTTGAAGCGGAGTTGGCAAAGAGCAGAGCTGAAGAGCTCAGAGAGCTCAAAGGGTGGCACAGGGTGAGATCCTGAAAGCGCGAAATGGCTGCCTCTAGCAATTACAACAACAATTACGAAAACCAAACCAAAACATCAGGATCGATGCTGTGCCATGAACTTTCTTTGTATATGGCCCTGCTTCTTCGAGCCATCACCCTTTTGAATGCCAAAGGCCTGTACAAATCTCGTCTTTCCATGATTCCGAAATCAATGACCTAATTCGTGCATGTGCGTGGGGGTGCAGTCTTGGCTGTAGCTTCATCGCTTGCAACGGAGCTTGCGTTCCATTTTCCACAGCTGGGTAACCCAGGTCTGCAAATTCAGCAAGCGAGGGCAAAATCCGAAGTGTGTCGTTGTCTTACTTGAAGGTTCATGGGACTTAGTAAGTAAGGTTATAAGTACCTTAATTGGGGTTTTTTCGTGGTTATCAGTATAGTTACCCCAATTATTACCCTAGTTACTAAGTCCCATGATCCTTTAAGTACGGCATTTTGTGCGTTTGACCAGGCAGTCGTTCAAGCCCATCGGTGGCAGGTTTTGCACCACCTGCTCCGAGCAGAGCCTCGTGCTGACACACTGCCACGTTTGGTCGTGCTGTGCGCGCCTGTGTGATTTCAACGGTTAGCGATGTTGTGGCTGGCCAGGAAGTCTCTGTGCCGGTGTGGCGGTTGCGACAAGATCTACCCTGCGGCAGGGATCATGCTGTATGCTAGAGACCTTCAGCTGCCGTTTGCACCCACAGGCTCTAAACCCGAAGCTTGTCTCACAGGATGCGGGTTCTATGGATGGACAGACTTGGCTTTGCCGGCCTGCCTCTGAGAAGAGATTCTGGGAAACCAGACTTTGGGAGTTCGATCCATGCAAGCTGCTAGCAGCTGGAGCCCCTTCGCACCTTTCTCACCTCGCTTCTACTTGGAGGTTCATGGATAGTTAGTTATACGTGGGGTTCTATGTAGGGTAACTATACTTATGACCAATATTGGGGGACTTATAACCCTACTTATAACTCCCCATGAATCTCCAAGTAAGCCCTGTAGTGCCGCATCCCCGCAAAATCGTTGTGCCCCCCCCTCCCAGAAGCCCAGGGGCTGCTCCACAGGCTCCGATCCCACTCCAGGCCATTTCTTTGGGAGTTTAGGGTTTAGGCTTTAATGAGTGGAGTAGGGCTTGGGCCGGTTTGGGGCATGTTGTAGAGGTTTTTGGGTGGTAATGTCGGGTGTAGCTTAATCCAAACCCTAAACCCCTATAGTTATAGTTATAGCAATAGCCTAATAGGCCTTATTCTAAACCTGATACTACCCTTTTAATTTGATAGGGTTTTAACTAAATCGTATAACAACCTAATAGGGTTTATGCTTACTCCTTATAGTACCCTATTAGGGCTTCTACTAAATCTTCTAGACACCTAATACGGTTTATACTAAGTCCTTGTAATACTAGTTCCGGGACTCCAAGGGAGCAGTTGCAGCTGGAAGGTGGCTATCCGCAGCTGGCCCATGCGCAGCTCCGGAGCCTGAGCGCCGCAGGAATCGACATCGAGGTGCAAGGAGCAGCACCAAGAATGAGAGTAATGAGAAGAGTAACAACAATAGAAGTAATCATAATATGAATCGTAGCAATACCAAGAGTAAAGATAGTAATAACAACAATGATCAACATGATATTGCTAACAAGAATACTAAGAATAGTGGTGATAAGAACAAGGCTAAGGTAAGCAGCGGGTCCTGGTGCTGAAGGACAAACGGCTGCACTAAGGTGCCCGGTGCTGCTGCGAAAGCCCATCGGCTTCCTTGGTCCCTGCTGCAGCCGGTTCCGAAGCCTGGCGCCTGAGCATGCTACATTCTACATATTCTGCTACTATACCTTTTTGTGTTATCCGTCTTGGTACTATATATATGTATATACATATATATATATATATATACACACACACACACACTGCAAGTCACTCCAGAACACTGCATTGTACGAAATTATACTACATCATAGTGTACAATGCTGTAATTTTACGTTGTTATACTTGGAGGTTCATGGGTAGTTATAACAAGTGGGGCTGTAAGTAGGGCAAGTAGACTCAACTCATATTGGGGGACTTCTAGCCCCTACTTCTAACTACCCATGAGCCTCCAAGTAGTGTCGCAGCCGGGCTTTTGGCTCCGCTCGGAGGCCAAGCATCGAGCCGGGAGCTGCACGGGCCAAGTGGTCCGTGGCTTAGACTTTCGACTCTCTTCTGGGAGCTTCCGAAAGGGCTACTTAAGGGATCTTTTAAAGGGATCCTTTCAGGGTTCCTTAGAGGGATCTATAGGGTTTAGGGTTTAGAGCTTCCGAAGGTTGGGATCTCATAAGGAAAGACGTGACTAACATAGTATGAACAGTGGTGGTGGTGGTGGTGGTGGTGGTGGTGGTGGTAGTAGTAGTAGTAGTAACAACAACAACAAAAAGATTTGCAGTAAAAGCTAGAATAAGGACAGGAATAGATATCACATATCATAGTAATTGTGTAAGAATAGCATGGCTAACTGTAACGGAGTGGTTGTCTGGTCTAGACAGTCTAGACGGGTGTTTTCGTAGATGCCGTGTTTCCATCCAGTGACTCCTCAGATGGCCTTCCGGCAACTTTGACGGAGAGAGTGACATCCCATCACGATGAAAATGTTGTCCACATCTCGGAACAGCGATCTGAGAGCACTTTTCTCAGCCGAATCCCTCGCTTACAGTTCGTTGGGGGGGTTGATACAGCGTCGGGTGCTTTTCTTCCTTGCTCGCTCGAGAAGCAGTTTGCCCGTTCTGTTGGGGCCGTCCGGAGCGTCTCCAAGCCCATGCTCCTCGAGCTTTGGTTCTTGAAGCTTTCCCTTTCGGGTCTTGCATTTGGTGATGAGCTGATGATTTCTGTCCTGCTTCCATTCATGTTCTCTGCCAGCTCGTGCATGTGCTATGTTGCGCTAGCGTGCTAGCGCGGAAGTCGTCTTTATCTATGGGTGAATGAAGCCTGCAAGCAGAATTGCATTGCTTCTTGGAGTGAACCGGCCGACGGCCTGGGGTCCCTTAGACTGGCGCCACAGCGAATGCGATTGACCTGATGAGGCAGCACGAGTTTTTTTAAATTTTCAGCCCTCACGCGATAAAACTGCAGCAAATCCCAATGTCTGAGCCCAAGCCCTCGTCGCACGTCGCAGACTCTTGAGTCTTCATTTGCTCCCTGCGAAAGGTGTGTTTGCCTGGACTCTTGGTCCATCCCAGACGTCTGGACTCTGCTGTTGAGACATTTTTAGCGAAAGTCTGCTTTGTCTAGCCTAGCAACCGGTTGAACAACAGCTGGGCTGGTGTGCCATGATGGGGCATGTTGGTGGGGGGTTTTGCGGTAGATGAAGATCGAAACGCGCAGCAAACCTTCCCATCACGACCCGCATTGTTGGCCCAAGCTACATCCTGAGAGGACGTGTGAGATACTGAAAACAGATGTGCCCCGTTGAATCCATGGCGTTTCATGGCTTCACGACAGGCGTTTTCATTGCATCGACCTCGGAGACCAGCCGAGTGATTTCTGCAACGGACCAGAAAACTGCTGGGAGGCCGACGAAGCGAAGACAAAGCACATAGCATGCAACTGTGGGCTGTTGCAGGTGGAGTGGTCTTTCTCAGAGGGATCCAGCTCAAGCAGCAAATCGAACTCTTGGCGTGACCTTGACCTGGACTTGGAGCTTGCAGCCCAGACTGTCGAGTCTCTATACCCGAGTGCAGGTACAGGCCATCTTGATGTTCGTGTTTTTCTGCACGATCAGGGAACGTGTCAGGCTCGGACAGCTGTTTGCAAAATTGCATGGACTCGGTTCCGACATTTTCTGCAGAAGCAGTGTCGTTTGACTAGCTGTAGATTGCAGGTCCAACAGATGCCAGGTGCCCAGCACCTTGGCCAGATTGAGCAGCCAGCCATTACGGAGTGATGGAAGCTTGAGCCGGAAGTAGGCATCCAAGGCAGTGAGTCTTGCAAGTGTGTTTGTTGGCACTGCTGTTAGTGCCATTATCTGCACGTAAAGCGGACCGTGGCGGCAAATGCTTAGTAGTAGTAGTAGTAGGAGGAGGAGGATGAGGAGGAGGAGGAGTAGCAATAGCAGTAGCGGCGTGGCGACACAACGCAGGCTATCGCGAGTCGTCATATCCAAAGTCGTAGTAGCAACCATCATTCCTGTTCCTCCACGTTGCAGCAAGATTATACTGATGCACTCCATTAGCCAGGAGCTGCAGCTGCCCACAACTGCTATGCCTTGGCCCTCGCGTGCTGCGGCATGAAAAGAGGGGGTTGACAGAAATCTATGCAGTAGGGAAGCAAGGTCTGGGGCCTGTTTGCCAGTCGTGTGATTACGGTTGATGATATAAATCCTGCATTACCCATAACAAGGAATATACCATAATTCCCATAGTTTAGGGTCCTTAAGGTAATGCAGGATTTATATCATCAACCGTTAGGTGCACCTCTGCCTTGAGCACCGGGAACAGCCGTTGAAGGCTGGGTGAAGAGTGAGATGGATTCCAAGGATGCTCTCAGTCTCAGTAGTTCCTACACCGCTCTCTGAGAGCGAAGACTTGAGAGGCTTTCCAAAGGCGGAGGGAGGGGGAATCGGAGCAAGTCTCGTGGCCGGCCACAGTCCCAGAAATTGCATGCACTGTGTTCGTAACGTAGAAACCTGGGCTTGCACGGCATTTAGGCAGAGACGAAGAGATGGTCCTCTTGTGCAAGCTATGCAGCTGCCTGGCGCCAGCTCAATTTCATGGAGGCCCGATGCCCTTCTTGCATGGAAAAGGGCCAGATAGGGGCTGAGGGCTTGGGAATACCCCACTGGCTTCTCTCTTGCATCAAGTGGACGCTTGCACTGCTGTCTTCTGTGAGTGCTGCCACCTCAAGAGCAAATTATCTACGTGTAGTCGGAGCAGCGACCGTGCAAAGCAGACAAACAGACAAACAAACAGTCAGACAGACAGACAGATACGCAGACCAGCTGCTATGCGAGAACGATGCAGCGGAATACATGGTCTCAGACCTCCAGTCCTTATGTGTTCCACCATTTAAACTCTCTTCGTGGGCCGGGGCCCTCCTTCGCGCCTCATGTCTTTGGAGGTGCAATCGCTTGCCTTGAACGCTCTTACGAAGCGTATTCAAGATGAAGCGGAGGTGTTGCCGGATGGCATCTTACGCGTCGCTGATTTCCTCAATTACAGGGTGGACCCTGTCCTGATGGACAGCTGTGGAGCGCTCCTGGCGAATCGGCTGATGGATGCAAAGCCGACCAAGATCCTAGCTGGCTGCAGCAGCCAAGGGCTCCTTCCAGCGGTGGCAGCATCAAGGCACTTGGAGATGCCCGTAGTCTTCGCTTACCCTTCTGTCCCGGATACCTGGAACGGTGATGCCACCATTTCGGCTACTCTCCAGGGCCGCACTCACTGGGTACTTTCGAGTGCGATTTGCGCCGAGGATCGGGTAGTGATAATAGATGATGTCGTCAGCACAGGCACAACAGTCACTGCTCTGAAAACCATCTGCGAGAAGGCCGGTGCCAAAGTTGTTGGGGTCGGTGCGATCATCCACAACTGCCTTGCTAATGGTGGGGGCAGTCCGATTGAAGGAAAGTTCGAGAGCCTGGCACAGGTTTCCAAGCCTAGTGCAGGAGGCCCTGTGGCTGTGAAGCCGTGCATTGTCCCTGCGGTTCAGCAGCAGCAGTTGCCAGAGGTTGTTGCGGCAGATGTTCTGACGGAGCGCGTGATGCGAGAGGGAAAGGTGCTACCTGGAAATCTGCTCAAGGTTTACTCCTTTGTTAATCATCAAGTTGACACGCGCTTGATGGACATGTGTGGCCAGCTGCTCGCGCGGGTTTTTGCGGGTTTTGGGGTGCAGAAGGTGCTCACGGCCCAAACCGGAGGTCTCCCTCCAGCACATGCCGTAGCAACGGCCTTGCGTGTGCCGCTTGTCTGTGCTCGGGAGACGCATGAGAACGATGAGGTGGTCATGCAGACAATGTACAGCGCCCCTTCGGAAAGCTTCACCAAGAAGAAGAAGTTGGTACTTTATGTTACGAAAGAAGCCTTGCTTCCCGGCGAGGTGGTTTTGGTTGTGGATGATTTTCTTGCCACGGGCACCACTGGTGTAGCGCTGCATCGATTGGTTGAGCAGGCAAAGGCTGAAGCAACAGGGATGGCTTTCCTTGTCGAAAAACGATTCCAAGATGGTCGTGGAAAGATTCTGCGGGAGCTGCCCCACTTGAACGGCCGGATCGTATCACTTGCATGCATCGAAGCGATGTCCACAGAGGGTATTTCCTTGGACTGCAAGGTGGTCGGTGACTGCAAACCCATCCAACCTGCAGACGGGAAAGTAATGATCAACCGAGTCCTGTCGTCTGCCCAAGCACATCAGGGACGGGGCATGATCAATGCCTCTACCTTCCTGAACCACGTTGCACCTCGGCTTGCATCGTTTCGCGATTTGCATATCCAGATAAATGCTAGATGGGTTTGCAGGCAAACGCAAGCCATTCACAGGTGGACACGAGGCTCATGGATCAGGCTGCTACGCTGCTGGCAAAGCGTTTCGTAGACTCACGGGCCACGGCGGTTCTGACCGCTGAAATGTCCGGTGTTGCACCAGCCTTGGCTTTGGCAATGCAACTTCGAGTGCCCTTGATCTGTGACTCTTGACTGCATCTAGCTGCAGCCATATGAGAGACTTCATGACATGTACATGGCGCCTGAATTCAGGCACGCAGGGAGCTGAGCAAGGTTATGGCTGTTGCTGGTGGCACAATCTCTGCAAAAGTCGAGGGCAGCACGGATTCGGCGCGAGGAACTCTTCACATCTTTCGCGAGCCTTGGCGGTCGAGCCTGTACATTTGGCCGCTGGCACTTCTGCATTTGTTGAAATTGCGGGATGCTGCATGCCTCTTCTACGGGACCTAGGACCACCTGCGAAAGGATGACGCCGTGCTGCTAATCGACGATATTTTGGGAAACGGAGCCACGACCATGGCTCTGCAGAACCTCTGTGACCAGGAGCGAAGCGGAAGACATCTGGTAATCAGAGAACACAGGGAGCTTCAGCTCTTGTGTTTCCGGATTTGCGAGGTGGGTGCTACGGTTGTTGGTGCAGGCTTTCTCGTGGAGAAGGCTTGGAAGCCGACTCAAATTGTGCTTCCATCAAATCACAGGGCCTCCCTGAAGGTTTTCCAGCACGGCCGGGGCAAAATTTTGGCTGCGCGACCGCACATGGCTGCGCCTCGTCAGCAGAGAGTTCAGCGGAAGCGTTCCAGGATATGCCCCCCCAGGGCAGCATTGCTTGCTGCACTCAGGACAGCATTGTGGCTCTCACGAAAGTCTTATCGATGGATGATCAAGGCATGAGTCATGAGTCATAAGGGACAAGCGTGATGCTGCTTCGAAATGCCGCATTTAAGTCATGCTCTGATGCAGGGCTGAAGGTCTTCCGCTGCCCTGAGCCTGCTCGAGACACCTGGGTGCGAGTGGCCACAGATCTCGTCCGGAGAATGAGCAAGGAAGTTGAGATCGATGTGGCAGCAAATGCCATGAAGTTCAGGTCAGTACGCCACTCAATTGCTTTTGCGAGCCCAATGGTGGCCAGCAGAGTTCTGCTGTCTCTGGTCTGGCTCGATCTGCGCCGAGGTGTTGGGTCAGCATATGAGCATGGACCCGGTTATGCTCGATGCTTGTGGTGACGTGCTGGCTGCGCAGTTTGCCGGGGTCACCAAGGTCCTGACGGGTGGCTTGTCAGAAATCCCGAGCTGAGTGAGTGCCTGTTAATTGTGCCATGTGAAGCTAAAGGGAACTCCAGAAAGTTGGAATATGGTTTCAGGGTAGGATACCTTAGAATTTACCATAAAGGGTTTAGGATAATCATATTCCAACTTTCTGGCTCCTACTATAACAAGGTGCTCCGGTGCAGGGCCTGTCGGTGGCGTACGTAGTGGCCAGGCATTCCGAGGTGCCGATGATCTTCGCTCGCTCCTGGGCTCAGCTCAGATTGAATGCACGGATGCCTCAAGCATTCTCAAGCTGAAAAGCTACAGTCTTCACGCTCTTGATATTCTTTACAGTTCTGTCTCTGGTCGTTCATGGCGTTGTTGCCGCCGCAAGGTAACACTGTGCCGCTGACCATGAAGGGTCAGCGGATTCTGAGCGCCCAAGCTCCTACAGGCAGGGCTCCGAAATCCTTAGGTCAAAAGTTCGGAGTTGAGGTTGTAGCGTGGTGCTGGCACATCTGAGCAGCCAAGGCATGTTTAACGTCTCCGGCGAGTTCTTCGGCCCAAGCGATCGAGTTCTTATTGTGGACGACTTCCTGGCTTCAGGCGGTTCATGGGGGCTGTTGAGAGGCTTTGTTGCAACTTGTTCGGATTTAGAGATCGAAAGGCTTATCGGAGCATTGTGCTTGCATCATGTTGTGTCGTTGGGAAGCCTGCCGGCAGGGCAGACGGCGCTGGCGTTGAAGCAGATTTGTGCAGCGCTCAGACGCCTTTCGCAGAAGACGAAGCTTCTGGCCTTCTGGCCTCCAAGAACAGGTGAGGAAGCCGGTGCGACGATTGCCGGCTACGCCTTCTTGGCCTTGAATCGCACGCAACTCGTGGGCCAGAGACCGGCATCCGTCGCCGTCAACTCTTCAGGCGGGGCGATGAACCTTTGGAGACCCGTCCGCTCATCGATGCATTGACGCATGTCGCAGCATGTCGCAACTTGCAGGCCGCGAGGCTCTGGGCTCCAAGGCTCGTGCGACTGTGCCCGTCGGGGGAGTTTCACTCATGCTGCGATGCACGCAAAGGTGGTGGTCCTTGCCGACGTGGTCGGTATTGCGGCTGGTCGTTGTGAGGTCAAGGTCGCAGAATGGCTGCAGCGAGTGTCTGTAGCTTGAATTCAGCAGCTATAGCGCCGTAGCCTGGAGGTGGTAGTGCTTTTGCTTTGGGCAGCTCAGTGCTGCGTTGTTAACCCAATTCTGGTGGCGAGGCTGAAAGCATGTAGAGGTGAGATCTCCGGCACGGCTTACAGCCTCGCCCTCCCTGAAACTTAGTCCATTTAAGAGACAGGTTTCAGACTTATCTGTCAGGCACTTGCCGCAGTTTGCTGTCTCAGCCCAGGTCGTCCTAAAGATGTTGGAATTAGCAGCGCAAGTTGGCTGTTCAAGCACTGTGACACTGTTCTTGACCTTTCGACTGGGACAGACAGCTGTAGTGTAGTGTTTTGTGAACCCCGCAGCGTTGGATTTCAACTTCTGGCTGGCGTGCAGCATGATAGCCTGCTGTTGCATGGGCAGTGCCTCATCTAGCTGCTGCACTCCTTGCATTTCTTGGAGCTTGCGGACGTTTTTGTGCTGCCTGCGCAGAAATGGACATGCGCATGGGAAAGCGTGGCCGGCGAGGTAAATTACCGATACCATTTTTGGGGTTCCTTCTTATACTTATAGTACAATGGCCCCCCAAAACCCTATTCTAATTATGAAGGCCCCTACATTAGTTTTGTAAGCCTCATTCCTGCGCAGGCTGCCAGCACTTCCGTGACTGAGAGCGACGGCCGCCTTCTGGACGGTGTTGCGGTGCGGTTCTTCGAGGGGTGCTGCCGGCTTGGAGACCGTCTCTGGTTTTGAAGGATCGGGATTAGGGTTTAGGGTTTAGGGGTTTAGGGTTTAGGGTTTAGGGTCGGGATTGAACACCTCCGGCCGGGTGAAGCAGAGAGCCATTGCTTGCCAGATCCACTTTGTCCGGTGCCTTCGATGTCCCAGTGGACTTGATCGAGGCAGGTGCCCCTTTGAGTGACCGGAACAAGAAGTGCCCTGACGCCGGCGAAGCCGCAAAAAGAGTGTAGCAGGCGCACCAACTCCGATTGCGACCCGATGATCTTCTTTGCCTCCTGCTTGGGTATCGTCTTTTGTGTCGAAGTGCCATGGCCCAGCCTGCGGATGCTGGTGGGTTTTGAGAGGTCTGCGTTGGCCGCGGCCAGCGGGGGATCGACAGCGGGCTGGTCTCATCAAGGTCGAATGTAGCCCCGTCGCGTGTCGCGTCAGCAATGAAGGCCGTCCCTGCTTTGAGGAAGCTTTTCGAGCTCTGACGAGCAGCGAGCGGCGCGAGCGGCTGGGGCAGAAGGAGCTTCGAAAGCTGGCGACCTTCACAGGCGTACTGAATCCGTCGTAGACTTTGGGGGGCAGTTTGGCCATATGTCGAGCAGCCGATGAAGTGTGTGATAGTGTGTGCAATACTTGTACAGATCATGCGCAACAGACTGGAGTCTGCGAGGCTTTGACGGGACTGATGAAGATTGGGCGGAGCGTGGAGCTTACACTATGGGACGCTTGCATGAGAAGACTCCTTCCTGGCTGTTCCTGTGTGCTGCTCTAGGGAATATGCTTCGCTCTGCACGGAGTTCGGAGTGACGGAGGCCTTGTCACCGGCTCATGCAGGATCTGCCATTTTCACTCTATGCGAAAGCCTGGACGGTGGGGGCTCGAGGTTGGATTTTCCAGGGGTGCAGGCTTCACCATCAGCGCAGCAGTTATTCATGCAGACACAGAAGCATACTGACACGGATGTTGTACAAAGCTGCTCCACGTCTTCACAGCAGCCCCAAAAGGGAGGGGCACGGACACCGCGCCAAGAGAATCAGGGCAGCAAGGAGCAAGGGAGTCCGGTCTAGCTTCTGCTCTGTGAGACCATGTGTCACACTGGGCACTAGGTCACTAGGCAAAAGAAACCCTAAACTCTAAACCCTAAGGCCCTAGACTCTCAACTCTAAACCCTAAACCCTGAACCCCTAAACCCCTAAACCCTAAACCCTAAACTTTACCTGAACCACAGGAAGAAGGCCTCTGCCTGGCGGCGTTCTCCAAGCTTGTCGACGACAAATCAGAGAAGGCCGAGCCGGAGATGAGCTGCCCTGGTTTTCTCTTCTTCTTTAGTTTGCACCACAACAGTTTAGGGTTTAGGGTTTAGGAGTTCAGGGTTTAGGGTTTAGGGGTTAGGGTTTAGGGTTTGGGGTTGAAGGAGGCTTGAAAGTAATGGAAATTTAGACCTACAAGAAAGGACTAAGTGAAAGTTAGCCTTAGCCTTGCGCTTCTTTGTCGCGTGCAAACGGATAGAACGGCTAAGCAACTTGATTGAGGGGAGACTAAAGCAAGTAGCATCTGGGAATCTTTGAGGCACTTTACCTTTCCCGAACCCTAATAGCGCCTAAAGCCTAAAGCAGCCCTAAACTCAGGGCCTAGGCCGCCATCCCGCCAACAGCATCTCCAGCCGCCCGTTATGCCTGCCCGCCTCCCCACAGCCATGGGGACCGTGGCACCCACGTCGAGGTGGCTGGCTCCTTAAAAAAGACCCCGGATATCAAGGACCTAGGGGCCTCCAGGCCGGTCCCAGGGTGACCTGGCCCAGACCCGCCCTCTGTGCTCGCCTTGCCTGCTGCATCAACAAGCTTGAAGAACAACCATGGACTGAGTTGAGTGCTAAACCTAAAGGGAAAATGTTTTGACGATTTGGCCGCCTTAGACGGCGTGGGGTGGGAGAGATACCTGGCCAATCGTCATATTACGACGCACTCGAAATTACGCTGACGCAAGATATTTCCGCCTATGTGCCACTCTATACAGCAGACCCTAAACCCTAAGCCTCAAGCCCTACACCCAGGGTTCTGCTCGCCCTTTGTCGAAGCCTTGTTGTGTCCATTCCTTGGCAGGGCTGCATCTGTTCCGACGATGAGCTCCGGGAGTTGAAGCAGCTTTACGGGGACTCGGAGAGCCCGATCCCAAAAGAAGGCCCGGGCCCTGGCTTCGGTTCCTTAGTAGTCGAGTGGGTAGCCTTTACCCCTTTTTTGGGTAGTATACTTCCCTATATAATCCCTATACCACCAAAAAGGCTAACCTTCAGTTCCCCATGATGCCCGACAAGTAGGGTTCGGAGAGCAGAGGGACGTGAAGTTGTTGCCTGAGGAGTGCATCCTTCCGAAGTTTGGGTCGGGCATGGAATCGTGGAGTCTGCCGACAAGTTTGGAGACTCTCTGCAGGCGGAGATCGGATTCTTGCTTGTCGTTCAGACTTCTTCAGCTTGCATGTCGCGAGAACCTACGACAGGTTCGCTTCTACCTCTGCGAGGCTCGGAGAGCAACCTGTAACAAGTGCCCTAAACCCGAAACCCTAAAGCCTAAGCATGCCTGAACCCCAGGGTGTGGCCCGTGGGAGGTCTCCAGCACGCTGGGCCTGCCCCGGGAGCTCCGAAGCAAAGAGCCCACGCCAGGCGTGTCCTCTTTGAAGCAGATACTCAGAGGGTGATGCATGGCCGTGATGCGTCGTGGGTGGGAGGGGTCCATAGCTAGGATAGGCCACCTGCGGAGTCTCCTCCGCTCTGCTTCTGCTGTTTTGGCTCGAGACTGAACCAAAGGATGAACGTGAAAGTTCAATCTGAACCGCAAAAGCAGAATTGGGTGCGAAACTTGCCCAGCTAAATTGATCGTGCATGCCGGAACTCACACAAGCCAGCACCAACATTAGCCAACCAACATGTGCACACAAACACACAGACAGGGGAACACACACGGAGCCTTAAACGTCTTTCGTCGCCAGTTGCCATGACGTTCTCAAAGACCTGACCTAAGAGTGGGTTGTTGACGCGCTTGAGCCAGAATGTCAATTGATCATCTGCACGTTGCGTTGCTCAGGTTGCAGATCTGTGTGCTCGGCTTTCTCGGGAAGCCAGACCTAGCATCTGCGGGCAAGAAGCTTTTCGATATTGACCTCGATACGCTCACAAAGCCTCCGCTTTGGGAGCCGACGCTGGAAGAGTACTTCCCTGGGCAGCGTGGAGAGCGGGACGAAACAGGCCTTCCGAAGCCGGTAGTCCTCACAAAGCCAACTCGAGAAGAGTTCCTTTTCCATGCTCGCCGTGGCTACCCCATCATCGTTTCTGATTGGGCCGACGGGATGGCGTATGCAGGGTGGACTTGCAAAGACTTTGCCGAGAAATTCCCCTTTGGCTACATGAAGGCCGAGTACATACATGACCTTCCTGGGTTTGATCGCAAGAAGCACGATACAAAGGTGATCGACGGTGAATTGCGGTTTAAGTTAGGCTCCTTCAAGCCAGACGGGAAGACCTGGTGGCATAATTATTCCAGGCCTGCTTCGAAGAAGTATGCGGACGATCCCTTGAAGCCCAAGCGCGGGCCTTATGTCTGGCACGTAAAGGATGAGCTCTCCGCGAAGGAGAAGCGGATTGTGCAGCAGCGCTTCGAAGCCCCACCCTTCCTGCAGGATCCCTTGAACAAAGCGACTAGGTGGCACTTTGGGAGTCCCTTGTGGTTCTTATAGAGGTAGGTATTCTTAACTAGTTTCCAAGGGCCCCAACACGACGACCCAGGCGAAGATGAATCGGAGCTTCGAAGTCTGGTTCTCTCCAGGAGGGCACTGCGGCGCGGGCGCCCATGCCGACGGCTACTGCGAGTCCGTGGTTTCTTTGCAGCTAAGAGGGGACAAAAGGTGGCGGAAGATGATGTTGCCCAAGATGTCTTTTCTGGACTCCTTTGATGAGTTTGACGGGGGAGTCTACGAGACCGGAAAGTGGGCGCCCGACCTGGGATTCTTAAACCAGGAGAAAGCCGCGGTGATCTGGCCTCCGGGGTACTTGCACGAGACCTCCACGCTGCCTCCGTCGGACGGGGAGTGCGGCTCCGCCTTGACGCTCCAGTACGCCTTCCCACAGCCGGTTCAGTTCCTAAGGGCCTTTCTGCCCAGGCTCTCCTTGTCCGCTGAAGTGGGGCAGTGTGTGGCCATGGCTTGGTCCGGGTACGTCACCTTTGAGGTGGGCGGAATCTCGCCCAGCAGTAAATCCAAGAAGATGGAGGAGCAACTCCAAAAGATCATGCAGCTGGTTGATACAGATGCAGATGGAGAGATCACCGTTCAGGAGACGGTTGCTTGGTTCGGGCATCCAAACTCTCTGGCCATGAAGCGCCTCCCTGATCCGGAGTTCATGAAGCACAAGGTCCGTCGGGCAGGGCAGGGCATGGGCTGCTGTGCTACAGGGTATGTCGAAGCCTTTCAGGACCTCGTGATCAGCTTCAAGGCGGAGGACACAGTTGCGTATCACGACATGAACGATGACATGAAGGTGTCGCGCCAGGAGCACGGGCTGAAGCTTTGTGCTCGTAGTGTTCGCTCAACGGATGATTTTAGACTTGCTGAGCACCCACACCTGGAGGAGCTGTGGGATTCGTTGGTGCAGTGGAACGTTGTTCGGGTTGGACGCCTACCGCCGACTGGGCAATGATTCAACATTGGTCTGTGCCTGTCCTGTCAGGTTCGAGTCACCGAGGGCCTGAAGTTCTTGAACCAAGCAGATCGAGAAGGATTGGAGGCCACCTGCCAGCATCATGGAATCATGGACTAGAAGAGTTCTACACCCCTCAGCTCCAGGCACTGGAGCGGTCGCTCGACTACCTTCGCAGGGAGCCCCTTGGGCTCCCGAAGTCCGTGAGGCGTCTTCTGACATTCTGCCGGAGAGCAGTGCTCTTGATGACTAACGCTTAGACTAAACCCTAAACCCTAAACCCTACTCCTGTGGTGCAGCTGGGGTGTTCACGTGTCTGACAGGCCCGAGATGGAGGACTGACTTTTTCCTTGACCGGTTGGCAGCGGATTGACATGGGTAGTTGTCAAAATTAGGGTCCCTTGTTGGGTACCTTAAATAGTATGTGCCGTATTAAAGTAGGGACCCAAAAGGGCACCATAATTTTGACAACCACCCATGTGCTTGGTTGCGGTTGCACTCGGCATTGTGTTGGGCTTCGTAGGAGATCTTCCGCCTGGGAAAGGCACGCAGTGCTTGTTGGAGTTTGCGGAGCATCTGTGAGATGCTTCGAAGCCCGTGGTACTTCTAGTAGTGGGCAGCTTGCTCACATTCGCTCACCGTGGTCGCCCGCCATAGCCTTCCTCTGTTTGCTGTCAGGGCACCAAGATCCTTCCCTCGTTGAAGCGCGTCCACTCCATCTCCGACTCTGAGTTCTGGAGCGAAGCACGGGACGCCGTGGAGGACCTGCAAAGACCTACCCATGAGCGTCTACCTGCGCGACTTTCCTGCTTCGCGCCTCGAGGAGATCAGGTCTCGAAGAGGAGAGCTTTGACATGTTCGCAGGTGAAAAACTCCGAAGATGTCCGTTTGAGCTTGGCCCCTGTGTCTCCAGTCCCCGGTACGCTGGGTGAGCCGTTGCCCAACGACAGGTCTGCGGCACTTGGCTCAAGCTGCCAGGTGGTGACGCTACCAATGCTGGACTGCTAGCAGGCCATAGCTACAGAGGCTCCAATGGCATGAAGTCGGCGATCACCGCAGGCCCTGCGTGAAAATTTGCATATTTTATGTTGATATTGACTTGTTCCGTCTCCTACAGGTCTTTCAAATGCGGATCGATTCCTCTGGGCCTGCCGATCACTTAGAGAGCTGCTCTGCTTGGGCAACGAGTTTCTAACATGGTGCCGCTGAGTCCGAGACTCGAATCCCCACCCCCCAACTCTGGGCATCTGGTAACTTCGGCCGGCAGAGTTGCAAGCACACTAACAGGTGTTCGCTGGATTCAAAAAGTGTTTCAGGCCAACCGAGAAAGAGCGCAAGGGGGATCATGTTCACAGCAAGCGGGGGAGATGACATGATTCATTGCTCTTCTCAGCACCAGTTTGGACTTGCCAGATTGTCCAAGCTGCACCGTGCTCCCGATCAGGGTGAGGCTAGCAAACGCCAGAATCAAAGCACTGAGCCGCAGCATTGATCTTCTCCGATACATGTGCCCTGTCAGCAACTGCTTTGCAGAATTCAAGCCTATCTCATGAGCTCCTCTCCGTGCTGAGGCCCTTCAGGCAGCTCAAAGACCTGCAACTCCAAGCGTTGGAAGCTTCCTGGAGACCCCAGCTGCTTGCATTGCATTTGCCTTGCTGGAGTTTTCTTCTTGTCTCGCTGCCATACCCAGGCCCGGAGAGCATTTCTACATTGAACGAGTGGTGCCAAGCAGCTTTGTTGCAACTGCTTGGTGAAGCAGACTGGGGTGCTATCTGGAGCAGTAGTCGAATGCAGCATTACAGAACTCAGGATGATAGAACGGAACACGGCACTGTATCGCATTGTGGATGAAGCTGGTTATATACATGCATACATACATACATGCGTCATCATGCGTACATACATACATACATACGTACCTCCCTCCCTCCCTATGCAAGCATGCACGGATGCATGCATGCATGCAGTGTGTGTATATACATACACACATGTATGTATATATATATATGTATGTATGTATGTATGTACGTATGTGTATATATGTATATGTTTAGATATGTATAGGTATGTACTATATGTATGTAGAAGGTGTAGATGTTGTCTGTCGTACTCCCCCAGGCAATGTCCCCACATCTGTCTCTTCGATGGGACTTCGGCTTCCTGGATGCCGCGCAGGACTCTTTGCAGAAGGCTGGCCGGGGTGAAGCTGGGCCTGTATAAAGGGAACTCCAGAAAGTTGGAATGTGGTTTCAGGGTAGGATACCCTATAATTTGCCATAAAGGGTTTAGGATAATCATATTCCAACTTTCTGGCTTTTACTGTAATACGAGCAGAACCAGTGCTGCAGTGTATGGTGGTGGTGGTGGTGGCGGCGTCGTAGTAGTAGTAGTAGTAGTAGTAGTAGTAGTAGTAGTAGTAGTAGTAGTAGTAGTAGTAGTAGTAGCGGTAGTAGCCTTAGTAGCAGCAGCAGGAGGAGGAGGTGGAGTCGTACCAGCAGCAGCAGTAGCAGTAGCGTGGTAAGAATGATAGTAGCCACTGGAGCTTTTTAGCAATGAAAGCACAGGTCCTTTTTTTTCAATCGCAAGGGTGTTCGCACCCATAGGCAATCAATCAATCAATCAATCAATCAATCAACGTTTGAGTCTTGCCAGTCGAGTTCTTTCTGTCAGCTTAGGATGGAGGCCGCGGCCTCGACTTCTCTTGTGGGAGCCGCTTCCTCAGTGTGTTTCGTAGGTTGAGCATTTAGGGTCTATAAAGATTAGGGTTTAAGGGCCTTTAGGTCACGTGCTGGCAGAGATCTTCAGGTCTCTGCTTCTTTTGCCGGTGCCGAGGTGGAAATTTCAAGGGGCAGCTGAACAATCTTCTCCATCGTCTTTTGAAAAGATGCTCAGATGCAGGTTTATAAGTCCTCGACAGTTCTCTAGCCTTGGACATGATCGGCATCAGGACCTGTCGTCAAGGGGGATGTGGTGTACGAAGTCTCCGAAGCGGCTCCCTTCACTGCATCCGTCTCTTTGACGCCTGACACGCTATTCGGGAGTGCCGTCCTCAGAAATGTTTGGATGAGGTTTGGTTGAAGGTGTATGCTGACAGCTACATGCCCGGCTCGTGACGGCACTCCACGTTTGGCCCAAGGACAGCATCCGCACAGGCACCTAGACACGTATATAGATGCTCCCCGCAACCTCAGTGTTCATCCGGAGCATTCAGCCAGAGGAACCCAAAGACGCCCCACGAGATGCGTCGGTTCCGTTCCATGCGTGAGGTGTCCGAGATGCAAGCCTGGGAATCGCAGATCGCAGATGGTGGTGGGTGACACCACGCGGTGCTGCAACATGAGCCGGCTGGTGGCGCCACGCCACCAAAAAGCCCAGCATACATCGGATCCCCGAGGTCGGCAACCTCAGGTCGATAGAGCACTGCTCTATCGACCGGAGGCTGCACGCCTCGGAGACCTAATGGTGGATGGCAGATGGTGGTAGCTCCTCTCCTGTTGTCTATGAAAGGCCTCCTGATATGTGCCAGTTACGTTTACGCTGTCTGGGCACCTCTTTGGATCAACCCACGACCCCGCCCAACTGACACCTCGACTTCTTGGAGGGAGATCTGCGAACACCAGATCTTGCACCTGGCGAAGATGCTGTTTGGACTGAGGAGCTCGTAGTCTCGACCGGAAAAAGATGCGAAGAGTCAAGCGAAGTGACGTCATGCAGCTGTACGGCGACTCTACGGTAAGAAAGAGGTGGTAGCGAATATCACTCGTAGTGGAGTTTCAGTACCCTAAACCCTGAACCTTTCAAGCCTAAACCCCCAAAAGGGTAGCGAGGGTTCGATGGGAAACCGAGGTAAAAGCCACCCACCAGGTCGACGCTTCCTGGGTCAGCCTTGCAGCGCCAAGAAGCCAGCGGAGCCCCGTTTCCAACACGCTTCTATTTTTGGGGGTTCCTTGTTACAATCATGGTATAATGGGCTCCAAAAGCTTGTAAAGGTTAAGGGTAGAGGCTTAGGGTTCCAGAATTCCCCGAAAATCAATTCCGACGTTTTCGACCCCTCAGGAGCAAGCGGCAGCTGCCAAAGCCCTTCAGGCACTGCAAGAGCAGCGGCCCCAGTCGCTTGAGGGTGCATAGCCGCCTTGCAATCTGGTCACCTCGTCGAGGCTCTTGCCAGTGAGGACTCTCCAGCTGAAGAACCCTTCCGCTCCGAATCATCATCAGGTTCCTCGGCGTTTGATTGTCTGGGCAGTTTCTCAAAGCCAGCGCTGCAGATTGAGCCGAGGCTGTAACAGCCAACTACAAAGGCGTGTGATCACAGATCTGTCGTGTGTCCGCCTTGCAAGCTATTCGGCATGCAGGCCAGCTGGTTGAGCAGCTCCAGCAGCTTTGCTGTACTGGTGTGCGACGGGCCGCGTGCGAGAGTCTGCTGGAGCTCAGGCAGCTGTTGGGCCGTACCTTGCAACACGGCTACCAAAGCTGTCTGCAGCTGCTGTCGTGGTGTCGGGTTTACATGAAGTCAAACGCAGGTACCGTTTCGACGTCTCAGTTGGTCTGTCAGATCCCACAGCCACACAAGTCAGACGTGCGCAGAGCTGAGGAAACCTGGAGATGTGATCTTCAAGACGCAGGCCGTTCCTTTGGCTGAGCCCGGATGACCGTGAATTGCAATAAGTTGAAATGGCAGTGCATCGAACTCTATCCGCTTTCTAGTGCTACATCATCTCTGTTACGCTGGCATCGTGATTTGTCAGGAGACGGCGCAGTTTGTGCGACGTAAGGTATCAGTAGCGTGCAGTGCACGTAGACGTTGTATATTGCTCAGGCGGGTTTGTAACTGTGTATGAGTATATATATATATTTTTATGTATATACATACATACATACATACATACACACATGTTTAATCAATAGACTCGGTATAAATAGTACATTGCACAGTGTAATACCTCTCTCTCTCTGTGTCTGTATGTATGTATATACTCACAATAATCTATACTATATGTTATACAGTTTTTACGATATACTATACACCACATGCTAAACACCTTATGTAGAACATGCAACATATGTACAACATAGATAGCTTACTACATACAATGTACAATACACAATACACAACATCTAATGCACAATAGTCAAAACACAGCAAAACATTTAGCAAATAATCTACAAGATTTGTGAAAAAAATCAACAATGAAATCTATATGTATATATATATATATATGTACATGTCCATGTATATATATATATATATATATACATGTTTAATTTTGTACATAGCATATATATATATATATATATACATAGATATACACATACAACATGGTACAGACGAAAATAACTTGCAAGTAGCATGTAGTTTATAGCATATCGCATATAACATATAACATACTGCACATGGTATATAGCATATGGTATATAGTACATGCTATATTCTAAGTACTAGATACTGTATAACATACAGTGTTTAGTATATAGTTCTCAATATATAGTGTTTAGTATAATCTATATCACTATAAACTGAGTGTGTATAGCTTATAACATATAGTTTCTGGCATATGGTGCATGGTATTCACAATATAATGTCTTACATACGTGGTGCGCGATATAAGACATGACGCACCTTATATAGTGTGTAAACGGAATACCATATGCAGTATGTACTGTATATTACATATATATATATATATACATATATACTAACTATGTAACAAATGTCTTCATATAGCCGAAGAACAACTATGTATATATATATATATACATAACATACATGCACATCCAGCTGTATATCCACAAAACAAACCATGTAAGTTGTACTGTGCAGCTTGTATGTACACGCATACCTGCATCTGGTATAAAAAGTGCATATATCTGTATACATTTATGTACAATAGGTGACCTAGCATGTAACATATAGCAGTTCATATATGATATTGACCTCCTCACATCTAGCACTTAATACCTGGTTAATGATATCTAATTTCGGGTATCCAGGATCCCATATATAGTACATAATATGTAGTATACTGTCGAATAGACAGTTCACATTTTGCAATGTATAAGTGTCATGCAGGCAGCGACTTGAACTTGGAGGTTCATGGGTAGTTATGAGTAGGGCCATAAGTCCCCGAATATGAGTTGTAAGTATACTTACCCTGCTTATAACTACCCATGAACCTCCAAGAACTAAGGATTATGGAGACTATTATTGGGATTATAGGGGACTGCTATAGGGATCCATTCCCCCATTCCCTACTAAGAACCAGACAGACTAAGGATAGTTAGACTAAGGATAGTTACCCTACCCTAAACCCTAAACCCATGAACCTCCAAGAACCTAAGGATGTGCCTCCCTTCGTCACCTCGGTGGAGGTTAACGTGCTGCAACCTTCGGCACTGCTGGGCACCGCTTGTCCCACCAAGACGCTTCCATCGATTCTGAAGAAAACGTTTTTTTCAGGGCCGATGTAAGTGTTAAAGTTTGTGGTATAACAGATATCAGAACGAATATACCTACCCAGGTATGCGTATATATGTATATACATACATGTATGTATGTGCATGTGTATGCAGGTATCTGTGTATATGTATGTATATATGTGCGTGTATGCATGTGTGTGTGTATATTTCAAACGTACTATATACATATCTACTATTCTGGTACCGTGCTTGAACGGATGTGTTTGGTAGTGCACGCAACGGCCCCCGCTGAAGCCGTCCGGTTCGAGCGGGGATCCGTTTCCGCAGCCCAGAGAGAATGCGGATCTGCACTGCATCCGGCTCTGGTCCTGGTCCGAGTTCTGCTTCCCGACCAGGGCCACCCGAGCCCGGACTGCTTTACGCCACCGGACAAAAAAGAAGTGCTTCGCTTCCGCTGCTGCCGTTCTGTAGTGTTTACCGCTACTGTACGCACGCTTAGCCTTTTTGGCGGTTAAGGAAACGGACTGTGCACTCTGAACTGTTTATGTATCTATATACCTTTAGATATAGATATGCTGAGTATCTTGAGATCAGCTCTGGAATCGCCGGGCCCAAGGAAAGCCGCCGAGCAAAGCGCCGCCCAGGCCATGGTCGCGGCTTGGCGAACTTCTTGGGACTTAGGGACTTTACTTCGGGTTTTTGTTGGTTTAGGGTTTAGGGTTTTTAGTTTCGGGGTTTTAGTCTCGGGTGTTTTTAGTTCGTGGTTTACTTTCGGGCTTTTGGTTTGGGGTTTGTCTTGGCTTCGCTTTCCGCCCTAAACCCTAAACCCTAAAACCCTAAACCCTAAAACCCTAAACCCTAAACCCTAAAACCTAAAACCCTAAACCCTAAACCCTAAACCCTAAAACCCTAAACCCTAAACCTTAAACCCTAAGACCCTAAACCCTAAACCCTAAACCCTAAAACCCTAAACTAAGCGAGGGGCCGAAACCGTCGAACGACAGGCCCCGAGCGCTCTGGCCGAGGGCCTAACAGCCCGAGCGCCCCTACGAAAAGAGCGGGACGCGGAGAGGGGAGGGTAAAGCCTCCCCGGTCTGACCTGCACAGGTCAACTGTGTAAAGCCCATGGCAGACCCCAGCGGGAAGTTTTCGAAACGAGGGACCGCCGTATCGGGACCGCCTCTATAGCGTAGCTATATAATAACCCCAAACCGTGCCCCATTTGCTCTGGACCCCCTCTTTTGGGGTTAGGATTTAGGATTTTAGGATTTAGGATTTGGGTTTAAGATCTAGGATTCAGGATTTGGGGTTTAGGATTTAGGATTTAGGATTTAGGATTTAGGGTTTAGGATTTAGGATTTAGGATTTAGGATTTAGGGTTTAGGATTTAGGATTTAGGATTTAGGATTTAGGGTTTAGGATTTAGGATTTAGGATTTAGGATTTAGCCTCCGGAAATTTGGATTTTTGCTGGTGATTTTCAAGTGACAAATTCTGTTCATAAAATGTGGTTTTTAGACAAGGCCGGTTGCGAATCTCGAGGTCCCCTCCTTTCTTTTCGTGTGGCTGCTCTTAAACTTCCGGATTTCAATATTTAGTCTAGGATTTAGGATTTAGGATTTTAGGGTTTAGGATTTAGGATTCAGGATTTAGGATTTAGGGTTTAGGATTTAGGATTTAGGATTTAGGGTTTAGGATTTAGGATTTAGGATTTAGGATTTAGGATTTAGGGTTTAGGGTTTAGGGTTTTGCCGTAGAATGGCGCATAAGCGGGAGTAGCTTGCGACAGTGTAATTTCGAGTGCATCGTCCTCAAGCGATTCAACGTTTGAGCCTGATTGTGGTTGGCTCTTTTTATTCACTCTCCCACCCCACGCCGTCTAAGGCGGCCAAACCACCCAAACCTATTCCTTTTAGGGTTTAGCACCTAAACTCAGTCTACGGTTTTCTTTTTCTTCAACCTCAGGCGGGGCAAAGCAGGGCAGGGCCAGGTAGGTGAGGGGGCCAGGGAGGCCAGAGAGGTCCTTGGAAATGGCCTCCAGAAAAGGAGCGGGTATGGCAAAAATTGCAATTTTGGTGCTTTTGCTGTGTTTCCGGACGGAATCTGGGCTGTTAATGGCTTCCACCGGACAAAATCTAGCTAAAATATTGCCAGAACATTAGAAAATACAACAATTTGGGTGCTTTTGTGGGGTTCACACCATGTCGGCCTTGAAAGCCAGAAATCCAAGAAGTACAGGGGCCAGTGGAAATGCGTTCCGGAAAAGGAACGGGTACTGCAAAATCTATGATTTTGGTGCTTTTGTGTGGTTTCTTTCCCCCATTTCGGGCCTTGGAAGCAGGAAATTCCTGAAAATCCGAAGGGGCCTTGGAAATGGCTTCCGGAAAACGAGAGAGTACTGCAAAATCGACGATTCTGGTGCTTTTGTAGAGTTTCCCCCATTTCGGGCCTTGGAAACCGGAAATTTTTGAAAATTTGAGGGGCCTTGGAAATGGCCTCCAGAAAAGGAGCGGGTACTGCAAAATCAATGATTTTGGTGCTTTTGCGGGTTTCGGGCCTTTGAAGCCGGAAATGCATGAACATCCGAGGAGCCTTAGAAATGGCCTCCGGAAAAGGAGCGGGTACTGCACAATCTACGATTTTTGTGCTTTAGTGTAGTTTCCCTTCCTTTCGGCGGCCTTGGAAGCCTGAAATCCAAGAAATCCGAGGGGCCTTGGAAATGGCCTCCGGAAAAGGAACGGGTACTGCAAAATCGACGATTCGCCCCATTTCGGCAGCCTTGGAAACCGGAAATCCTTGAAAATCCGAGGGGCCTTGGAAATGGCTTCCGGAAAAGGAGCACGTACTGCAAAATCGACGATTTTGGTGCTTTTGTGGGGTTTCTTCCATTTCGGGCTTTGGAAGCCGGAAATCACTGAAAATCCGAGGGGCCTTGGAAATGGCCTCCGGAAAAGGAGCGGGTACTGCAAAATCAACGATTTTGGTGCTTTTGTTGGGTTCCCGCTATTTCGGCAGCCTTGGAAGCCGGAAATCCTTGAAAATCCGAGGGGCCTTGGAAATGGCTTCCGGAAAAGGAGCGGGTACTGCAAAATCGGCGATTTTGGTGCTTTTGTGGAGTTTCCCCCATTTCGGCGGCTTTGGAAGCCGGAAATCCCATGAAAATCCGAGGGGCCTTGGAAATGGGCTCCGGGAAAGGAGCACGTACTGCAAAATCGACGATTTTGGTGCTTTTGTTGGGTTCCCCCCATTTCAACGGCCTTGGAAGCCGGAAACCCAAGAAATGCAAGGGGCCTTGGAAAATGGCCTCCGGAAAAGGAGCGGGTATTGCAACATCGACCAATTTGGAGCTTATGTGGTGTTCTTGCCATGTCGGCGGCTTTGGAAGCCGGAAATTCAAAAAATTCTAGGGTCCTTGGAAATGGCCTCCAGAAAAGGAGCGGGTATTGCAAAAATTGCAATTTTGGTGCTTTTGCTGTGTTTCCGGACGGAATCTGGGCTGTTAATGGCTTCCACCGGACAAAATCTAGCTAAAATATTGCCAGAACATTAGAAAATACAACAATTTGGGTGCTTTTGTGGGGTTCACCCCATGTCGGCCTTGAAAGCCAGAAATCCAAGAAGTACAGGGGCCAGTGGAAATGCGTTCCGGAAAAGGAACGGGTACTGCAAAATCTATGATTTTGGTGCTTTTGTGTGGTTTCCCCCATTTCGGGCTTTGGAAACAGGAAATTCCTGAAAATCCGAAGGGGCCTTGGAAATGGCCTCCGGAAAACGAGAGAGTACTGCAAAATCGACGATTCTGGTGCTTTTGTAGGGTTTCCGCCATTTCGGGCCTTGGAAACCGGAAAGTTCTGAAAATTTGAGGGGCCTTGGAAATGGCCTCCAGAAAAGGAGCGGGTACTGCAAAATCAATGATTTTGGTGCTTTTGCGGGTTTCGGGCCTTTGAAGCCGGAAATGCATGAAAATCCGAGGAGCCTTAGAAATGGCCTCCGGAAAAGGAGCGGGTACTGCACAATCTACGATTTTTGTGCTTTAGTGGAGTTTCCCTTCCTTTCGGCGGCCTTGGAAGCCTGAAATCCAAGAAATCCGAGGGGCCTTGGAAATGGCTTCCGGAAAAGGAACACGTACTGCAAAATCGACGATTTTGGTGCTTTTGTGGTGTTCCGCCCCATTTCGGCAGCCTTGGAAACCGGAAATCCTTGAAAATCCGAGGGGCCTTGGAAATGGCTTCCGGAAAAGGAGCACGTACTGCAAAATCGACGATTTTGGTGCTTTTGTGGTGTTTCTCCCATTTCGGGCTTTGGAAACCGGAAATCACTGAAAATCCGAGGGGCCTTGGAAATGGCCTCCGGAAAAGGAGCACGTATTGCAAAATCGACGATTTTGGTGCTTTTGTGGGGTTCCCCCCATTTCGGCAGCCTTGGAAGCCGGAAATCCTTGAAAATCCGAGGGGCCTTGGAAATGGCCTCCGGAAAAGGAGCGGGTACTGCAAAATCGACGATTTTGGTGCTTTTGTGGAGTTTCCCCCTTTCGGCCGGAAATCCCTTGAAAATCCGAGGGGCCTTGGAAATGGCCCCCGGAAAAAGAGCACGTGTTGCAAAATCGACGATTTTGGTGCTTTTGCTGTGTTTCCCCCATTTCGGCAGCCTTGGAAGCCGGAAATCCTTGAAAATCCGAGGGGCCTTGGAAATGGCTTCCGGAAAAGGAGCACGTACTGCAAAATCGACGATTTTGGTGCTTTTGTGGGGTTCCCCCCATTTCGGCAGCTTTGGAAGCCGGAAATCCCTTGAAAATCCGAGGGGCCTTGGAAATGGCCTCCGGAAAAGGAGCGGGTACTGCAAAATCGACGATTTTGGTGCTTTTGTTGGGTTACCCCCCATTTCGGGCCTTGGAAGCCGGAAATACCTGAAAATCCGAGGGGCCTTGGAAATGGCCTCCGGAAAAGGAGCGGGCACTGTAAAATCGACGATTTTGGTGCTTTTGTGGAGTTTCCCCGTTTCGGCGGCCTTGGAAGCCGGAAATCCTGAAAATGCTGGGGGACTTGGAAATGGCATCCGGAAAAGGAGCGGGTACTGCAAAATAGACGATTTTGGTGCTTTTGTGGGGTTTCTCCCATTTCGGGCTTTGGAAGCCGGAAATACCTGAATATCCGAGGGGCCTTGGAAATGGCCTCCAGAAAAGGAGCGGGTATTGCGAAATCGATGTTTTTGTTTTTGGTGCTTCTCTGGGGTTTCCCACATTTCGGGCCTTGGAAGCAGGAAATCGCTGAAAATCCGAAGGGCTTTGGAAATGGCCCCCGGAAAAGGAGCACGTATTGCAAAATCGACGATTTTGGTGCTTTTGTGGGGTTTCCAACATTTCGGCCCATTTCGCGCCTTGGCAGCCGGAAACCCAAGAAAATCTGAGGGGCCTTGGAAATGGAAAAGGAGCACTGCAAAATCAACGATCTTGGTGCTTTTGCGGGGTTTCCACCATTTCGGGCTTTGGAAGCCGGAAATCCCTGAAAATCGGAGGGGCCTTGAAATGTTCTATGCCCACTCAGTTTCGGAAATATAAGAGAATCCTTTCTGAAAGATGCATATAAACAGAAATAAGTTTAGGCCCTAAACCCTAAAAGGAGTAGGTTTGGGTGGTTGCGCCACCTCATGAACGGCGCGGGGTGGGAAGAAAGAACCGGGCCGCCATAAGCCGGCCGAAGAGCAGCCTTCGCTGCAAGCACGCTGTCCGCCGCAAGATCCGCACAAGCACTGACGGCTCACCCGTCCCCGGAAACCAAACAATTTCTGTGAAAAAGCGCGAAACCCTAAACCTTAAATAAACCTTAAGACCCTAAACCCTAAACCCTAAACCCCAGGGCCTGGGCATGCCTGGCGCAAGGAGAAGCTGCACCGGGACCATCAGGACAAGCTGAAGCGGAAACCCGTGCCAGGACCCATGGTCCGGCTCTCAGCTTTTAAAGGGTACTATAAGGGAGACAATAAGGGCTACTATAAGGGTTGCTATAAGGGTTACGATAAGGGTTACTATAAGGGGACTATAAGGGTTACTAGAAGGGGTCTATAAGGGTACTATATGAGGGGCCCAGATAATTAAGCATCTCTCTGCTTGTGCTTTGCGGTTAAGCATCATGGCTGGATCTGAATCGCAGAGGCTCCTGCATTCAGTTGTACAGCGCAGGCCTCAGGCTTGCTTCGGGCATGTCTGCGCGACTGTCTTCAGTGCTGTGCTGCTACACTGCACGTCCCCGGATGCAGAATCTCGAAGTTACTCGAGGTTACGCTTACTCTGGGAGATTCTGTCATCGTTGAAGCGACCAGCGAGAAGGGCCGCAGCTTCTGTTCCAAGCAGGCAGCGAAGGCCACCGTGCATGAGAGACTAGCACTGCAGGCCGATGAAGGCAGTGGTTCCGAAGCCCAACCACGGTTTCGGGGTGCATCAAAGCCGCAGGAGAATGCTGCCTTCCGTGCATGTGATCTTTTAAGCCAGAGAGTTTCAGGCCGGCACTCCACCATCTTGCCAGTTGTTGGACGGGTTGCTGTCGAAAGATAAACTTAAACCTGCTGCGAGGCGTTGCAGGCCAGCTCCAGCTAGCAGAACAGTTGGGGCGGTACTCCTTCGGAGAGCTGTGGCAGATTCTGGCACTTTGTGGATCGTTGCTTTAACTCATCCTACCCGTCTTGTGCTGTTCAAGATCAGATCTCCTTCGCATGCGCCAAGGAGGGATCCAAGAGCCGTCCGGTCTCGGTCTGAGCTGGGAGTTTAACTGCCAAAGAGTCTGTCCTACTACGAATAATATAAATCAAACTGAGAATAAGAGCAACAACAATATTATTCATGATGATGAGAATAATAATACTATGGCGGCGCAAGCGTCTCAGGCTCCGCTGCCTTCGCCGCCTCTAAGTGTCCCGCGCCCTGTGGGTCTGGTCACTGGAGGCCACCCACACAGAACGGTGACAGAGAGGGTCCGGGTGTTGTACTTGGAGGTTCATGGGAAGTTATAAGTAGGATTATAAGTAGGGTAACTATACTTATAGCTCCTATTAGGGGACTTATAACCCTACTTATAACTACCCATGAACCTCCAAGTACGGATCTTCACAGGCTGCCTCTTGTCAGGTTGAGAGAAGGTCGCAAAGCAGTGATGCGGAGGTCCACCACAATTGCCGATTCATCATGGGGCTGAAATTTTTTTGACGTCCAATTTGAATCAGTCTCCCTGATGGGGCAGCAAGAGTTTGAACTTACAGATGCCCGGTAGCTGCCATTGGTCTCACCTGCAGTACATAAGGTAGCGCAGCTTGGGGCACAATAGCCGGCAGAAGTTAGCCGTTGTGCCGGCCAAGCAGGGAAGTCTTCTTGTCCCTGAGAACGCGGTTTTTCCTTGTCATTGCCGTGGAGCTGAGAAACTGACTTGTGGAAGACCGTTCTCGGGAGGGGTCCCAGACGTGCCTCACCATGTTGAAAGTACAGCCACATTTAAAAGCGCGGAGTATGGTGATCGCTCTGAAAGTTCCTCGCACGTGTTTTGGCAGCCGTCTAGTCGGAGTGCAGCTTTCAATCTACTTCCTGGAAAGATCACGCTTGTCACCTACATCGTGCACCCCGTTCGCTAAGTTTTGCCTGGAGTGCTGTTAGGAGCAGCCGCAAGGCCAGCAGCCCTAGAGGCAACGTTGCATACGAGCCTTCGTCGCTTCAGTAGACGGAGGCTGTGGTGCAACTCATGTATATAGATTGTGCCACAGTGCACGTTTCACAGGCCGTATCTCCAGGCAGCAGAGTGGTTTGGACAATGTTCCGGCTGATTGGTTTCTGGCGGACGAAGACGCACTAACATGTCGAACAAAGCTTCTCATATGGCTCGATGGTTCTAGTGACTTCGTGCGGTTTACTCGCGAGATCTGATTAACACATGACAGTCGGTTCCAGATAACACATATCGCTGGCTCCAGGCTAAGTGAGTGATTAGTCATGCATTGGTGCTCTGAGTCAACCTGCTCTCTGCGAACGTTGTGCTAAATTTGAAGGCTTCGTGGTGGAATTGCTGTGGCTCCCGGAGACCTACCACTATCAAGCCAGCAGCCTACACCAAGCCGGTAGTCTCCCACGTCTAGAAGAGAAAGTGACTGACAGGGGACCGCGCTGGCAGAGCTGCCTCAGAGCGCACGCGGCCTAAACAGATCGGATTGTAAAGGTAGCACTACCCAGTTCCCTTGCTGAGAAGCGCCCGTGCCCAGGCACCGCTGATCCAAAATCTCATCTTGTGCAGCGCTAAGCGGCTATGCTTATCGAGCGAGCTGCGAGATGGCGCTGTCATGTTTGGTCCGTCTCCTTGCGGGGTCTGAGGTATGGTGGTGTACAGAGACCTGTGTCAGACCCCATGCGCGACTCCAACAGCTTCCTTCGGGACTGATCTATTCGACTTGAGATCCTGTGCACCTGCCAGCTGGAAGCTCGCAGGACCTTTCGCATTACCAGCTCAACGACTCACAGCTCGAGGTAGGGTAAACCTTGTCACACATTGAAATACAACAAACTGAATAAAGGCCATCATGATATAGAGCTGAATAATACGATGAATTTTCACCAGAATATTAATATTCGAGAACCTTTCATGACCTCTGATGTTCATCCGAATATGATATGACACTTAATATTACTATTACTATTCCTTGTGTCACCTTTAATGCTCATACCCGAACATGAATCTTAGTATTTCTCCTCGAAGCCAGGCTGTTCGGTCAGCGCTGTCCTCGTCCGGATCCCAGTCTTTGAGAGGCCGCTTCTTGCAAGCGAGGTGATGGTATATTTTATACGTTATATACGACTATGCATTATGTGGTATATAATGTCTGAATATATATATATATATATATATATGTATAAAAGAGATATATATATATATATATCTATATCTATATCTATATCTATATCTATATCTATATCTATATCTATATCTATATCTATATCTATATCTATATATATATATATATATACCTTTTTTTCCTCTATGGTTCGTGTCCCTGGAATGACTATGGCTCTTACTGCGAATATCGTCTTTTTGGGTCATCGTTGCACCTATTCTCCCTTTGTTCTTCTCCGATGTTGTTTGTCGCGGCTGATAATTCCGACAGCACAGCTACGGTTTTCCCTCTAAGCTGCGTAGGGCCGAGACACCAAGGCCGGTGACCCTGATTCACGGCCCACCGGGGACTGGAAAGACGAGGATGTCTTTGCAGTTTCCAAGTGGCGAGTGTCAGGCAGCAGCATAGTAGTCACGAGTCATGACACAGCTTGTAGGAGCAGGGAGCAGCAGTAAGCACTAGTGGCAGTGGTAGTGGTCGTCGTAGTCAGCGGTAGTAGCAGTGGTAGTGGCAGTGGCCATGGCAGTGGCAGTAGCAGTCGCAGTCGCAGTCGCAGCAGCAGTAGTAGTAGTAGCAGCAGCAGCAGTAGCAGTAGCAGTAGCAGTAGCAGTCATGAAGCAGACTCCGCCTTCAGTTCTCACTCAGCACATGCCATGCAACATGCAGTTCTGCTGGTCTGTCGATCTGATTCAGGACGGCTGCTGTGGTTGCCCTCACCTTTGCCAGTCACAATGCGCAGAGTTCAGTGCAGTCCCGAGTGAACAAGTTTGCGGTAGACAGCGGAAACGCAACATGGAAGGCAGATGTGTTGCTTCAGACAACAGGAAACGTGCAGCGAGCAGTCACGGTGGGGTTTTTATGATATGTAGCTATATATATATAAAAATATAACTCTCTCTCTCTCTATATATATATATAGATAACTATATATGTATAATATAACTATCTATATATATATATATATATGTATATATTTATATATATATATAGATGTAACTATATATTGGCCCTTGCTCACGATTTCCAGCGAGGCGCGAGCCTGCATCCTCTACACTGCCAACAGCAACCGGGCGGTGGATGTGGCGGCGGAGGTGCATCGATGCTGTTATATGGTGGTATTATGGTAGTAATATGGTAGAAAAATTGGGGTGTCGTCTTGGTTCTCCTGTGCGCCTGTTGTTACTTCAATGCACGGAGTGTATCGCGATGTCAGAAGCAGATGGTGCGTTCAGCTGAGGCCATTACAGAGCTGTCGACTGAACGCCTCGAGGATTTGTTCGAGACGCAAGCGCAGGAGCTTTTCGGCGCATTGTCTGGTTTCGATTTCTGCTGGGTGCCTTGAAGTGTAGCAAAGGCCATGCAGTTCGTTTGCGATTAGTCCTTATGGATGCAGGACGAGAAGTGTGCCATTTGCTGGGGCGAAGGTCGGGGACTCACCTGCGAGTTTCACAACATGAAGGTCCCCAGAAGAGTCCCTAAATATACAGTACATCCTGGTGAAGAGCGCCTCTGAACAAGGTACCCCTAGTTCAAGACATGCTCACTTGCGCCCTATCCCGGTGCTATGGGGAGACGCCTTGTGCAGGTTGCAATGCCATCACATTTTGTGGACACGTCTTTCACCGCCACTGTCTTGACCCCAGTTTCTGGCATTGTCGGATTCCGCCCTCTGAGCTTGCCGGTCTTCTCTTAGCTGACCGAACAGACAAGAGTTCAGCACTTGCCCTCTTGCCATCACTGGTTCAAGCTGCTGATTGTCCACATGTAAGCCACATCCCTGCCGAGCCTTGCCAGACAATGCTTGTGCAGATTTGGCAGTTTGCAATCAAGAGTCAAGAGCCTCCTGTACTAGACAGCATCATGTCAGCATTGCGACGAGCATTGCCCAAATTGCGTGCGCCTGAGTGAGATGTAGGACCTTTGCCGCTGAGCTCGCTGCCGTTGTTTTGGCATTGTGCCGCGGGGGGGAAGGAAAACTTTGAACTTCCAGTTCACAGGCACCTGGCACTTTGCCGCCCGGTTTCTGTGCTGGTCGAGGCCCTGCAGTGTGAGCCGTTTCCGCTCCGCGTCTTTATGGAGAGCTGTCGGAAGGCGACGCCAAACCCGAAGTCCATGAAATTCGTCTTGGAAGGCGGTGAAGTTCTTGGACGTGGGACAAAGACTGGCTGTGCTGCAACCTGTGCACATCCTGAATGGGATCCTATCACTCTCAGTGCAGTGCAGGACCATGCTCTTTCGCAGTCCTCATGAGGCAGGTGCTGCAAACTGCATGGGTCCTTTGCGCACATGCACACTGACGGGAAGGGTTGGCTTTGGTGTCAACCGTTGAGGGGATGGCCCCGTGCGATTGTTGGTTGTCTTCCTGCCTGTCGACGAAAACTATTGCTGTGCATCAGGCTATCCAGTCTCCTCTCGCAAAGTCCTTGCTTGAGCTGGATGGCGTACGAGAAGTCGCTCACCTGCAGATTAGCATCCTGTCAAGTTGTCGGTGGCTGCGTCTCGGCTGAGACTGCGTGGGGTGATGTAGGGTGTAGAAGTTGAGCTACGTCTTGCCAGCATGGCCTTTACTTCGGATGCGTTAGCTCTCGTGGATTTTGCACAGTCTGCGCACGGGTATGCTCCGTTTGCCTGCCGTCACGTTCATGTGGGTGGTTGTCAAAATTCTGGTCCCTTTTTGGGTCCTTATTACAATACGGCACCTATTATTTGCTCCAACAGGGACCATAATTTTGACAACTACCCATGTGTGACATGGCCAGGTGCTTCTTGCCGCGGAGCACGTCACCGTGACGAAGTCAACCCTGGCAGAGTGGGAGGATCTCCAGGTGGAGTGCATCAGTGCGTCGGCTCTTGTGCCTTTAGAGGCATTGCACATCGAGTCGACAGGATGTCGTGGAGGGGGAGATTAGCAAATTCTACGAGGTGGGTTTTGTTTCTGCGCTCTGGAGCTCCGCAGTTCGCCCCCCCTTAGCAGGCCGGGCATACGGTGATCGAGGCTTCTGCCGTGGAGTCCACAGATCCCCAGGTCAGGGCAGCGCCCCCCCGTCCCCCCCCCATTCAGCACGACACGACTCGCTTCTGTGAGGACTTCCCAGAGGGCAGCATCGAAGCCGAGATCCTTGAACTGCTCGAGGAGAGCCCCAGCGTAGTGAGGAAGAAGTCGCATCTGCTCTCTCTTGAATTGGACAGGAGAGAGTAAGGCCTTTTGTTCAACAAGACGGGGGCGACATCGAGTTTGTGCGTTCCTCGCCCGAAACTAGACCACCAGCACAGAGCAGCAACTGCAGTAATGCTGTTGCCTTTTAATTTTTGCGAGGCTTTGACCATGCAGACAGCACCCTGTACCTCAAGATGGTTGGCTCCTGCTCTGGCTGCTCTCAGTCCCATGCTACGCTGCAAGAAGGCGTGAAGAATTTGTGAGGAGCTCGGCGCGAGATGTTTAGATTCCCAGCTGCGAGGGCATTCTGGTCTGAGGATGGATCACTACATCCCGCAGGTGAAGCAAATCGTTGGACTCAACGATGAGATGGACTGGGCTGTTGTGAGACCGTTCTCGAGTCCTATGTTTTGACCTTGACAACCTTAGACCCTATAGTCTAACTCTAGGCCCTGGGCCGGGAGAGAAATGCAGCTTGCTAAGTTTTGGCCCTGAATTACAAACCCAAACCCCTCAACTCCAACCCAATCAGGATTTCAGACCCTAAGCTACCTGAAAACCTTTGCCACCGCCTTGAATTGCTGGGCCGTAACCGCGAACCCCTTGCCCCTTGAGGACGAGGATGTGCCGCGGCCGGGCCGGTGAGTGTTCTCGTAGCGGCACTGATGCTGCAGAGCAAGATGGCTTTTGATGGTCACTCTTTCCTAGAAAACTCTCGGATGTTGTTGATCTTCAAAGGAACACACACACACACACATGCGCACACGCCACACACGCCACACACGCCACACACGCACGCACGCATGCACGCACTCACGCACGCACATGTGTCTCCGTCTGTCTGTCTGCCTGTCTGTCTGCATGCATGGACGGACGGATGCCTGCATGCATGCATGCATGCATGCGTACTTCTAGACACGCATGCAGGCATATGTATATCTATGTGTATAGATCGGTGTATATACATATATATACACATGTATTGTATGTGTGTCTATATGTATGTATAAGCTCATTCCTGACTGTTTCATAGGGGTGGCGTTGTCATTAGTTGATATTATTAACAAATTCTACTTGTTTCTCTTGGGATGTCTTGTTCTTAACTCATACATTGAGTTGTTCCTGTTGTCTACTGCTACTGTTACTATTACTACCGCTACTACCACTACTACCACTACTACCACTGCTACCACTGCCGTTGCAACCACTACTACCACTGCAACCACTGCAACCACTACTACCACTACTAGTGCCGCTACTACTGCGACGACGACTAGTACTGCTACTAATATTAATACTGCTACTCCCACTCGCGACCGCTACCGCTAAAGCTACTGCTACCGCTACTGCTACTGCTGCTACCGCCACTGCTACTAGTGTTACCAGTGCTACTGCTACTACTACTACTACTACCACTACTACCACTACTACTACTACTGCTACTGTTGCTGTTACTACTGTTATTGCTACTATTCTTATTATTACTACTACTACTGCTACTGCTACTGCTGCTACTACTACTACTACTACTACTACTACCACTACTACTACTACTACTACTACTACTACTACTACTACTACTACTGCCGCCTTCACTACTACCACTGTCATTACGACTAGGACTACAACTACGGATACTGCTGCTGCTACTACTACTACTACTACTGCTACTACTACTACTACTACTGCTACTTTCGCTACGACTATCACGACTACTACGACATCTACTACTTCTAGCTGCTTTTGCTACTTCGGCTGCTGCTACTGCTTCTACTAACTCATACTAACTTCTGCTACTTAATTGCTTTTACTTCTTCTTCTGCCTTCTACTACTTCCACTATTTCTACTACTCTACTGTTTCTAACACTTCTACCACTTCTTCTATTTCTGCTACTTGTTCCACTTCTTGTCCTACTTGTATTTGAAGTTCTGCATCTAGTTCTACCACAGCGAACTACGACTACGACGACGCCGACGACTACTGTTGATATTACCCTTTTGATCTGTACTTTGACCACCGAACCTTTTTCTCAAGAGCTTTAAAGGCTTTTGCTGTGGTCATGAACGTGCTTCTGTTGTTGCCTGTCCTGCAAGATGAGTTTCTGGCCTATGGCTTGGATCCGGGTTTCTCCAAGCGGTCGGCCATGTCTTGAACAGCCTTGCCACCCTACCATGCCTTTTGGAGCGACCCTCATCTTTCGGCATATTGTGTCATGTCTGATCACTCATCTTTAAGTTCGTTGCCGACATCACTTCTGCATTGTTGTCAGATATGTCGTGTAGCAGAAACCTTTCATGGATCCGCACGAGAGATTCCCGAAAGTCCGAGGATCTGTAGGCAGCGCAGTGTAGTCTGCACCGCTTGGGCGACACAGAGGCGTCTGTTTGCCCCTCAAGCCTTCGGTGTCCTTTGAGAGGACGCTGTCAAAGGTGCTCGCTTGAGCTCAAGTGTACAGGAGCTTCGATTTACGCATTGATGCGCGTGCTGGCGAGCTACAGCCAATGGCGCCAAACCCACCCGCAGCAAGATGTCCAAAACTGCATGCTTGCTGAGTCACTGGGTGTTTCTGGAGTGAAGGCTCATGACGTGTCCTAACAGCGGGCGGGTCACAATGGCTCCGCTCAAGCCCAGCATTCCTGTTTTTTGAGGCTTGATGCAAGCGTTGAAGGCTTCCGTCGGAGGCCAGCAGCTGTACCTGAGCTAGTCGTACGAAGCTGATGTACTGTGAGCACCGTCAGGACGGCGGAATTGTCCCATGTGTCGAGCTGCCCTGAAGAGTATCGATGGCATCCGTCTGCTTCGGGTCGGGCCCTTTGCGTTCAGCGTCGGCACAAGAGCCATGGAGATACATTCTCGCTTCTGTGAGCACTGGCCAGACGGGGCCAGCACGTTCGAGTCTGATGTCATGTTAATCATTGATTCATGTGCTTAGATCTCGTAGTCGCACCCCTTGTTTTCCACTAGGGTGGACAGTCGCTTGCTTTCCAAGCGTCCTTTGGTATCATCTGCAACTGGATGGGTAGAAGCAACACTCGCCACAGCTTCAGTCCTATCTGAAACCTAGGCTGGCAACGAATGCTAGGCGTTACACGCAAAGGAGGGTCCTCTCAGATCAATCTACTTGTATGCCTCTTCATTTCGTAGTTACTTCAGCTTGGCTTGAGGTCTACAGCAGTGACACCGAGAATTTGGAGTCGCTTTGTTGCAGCCAGTGTGATGCTGACTCGTCTCCGAACTGTGCCTGACTCCGTACCCCAGGTTTCCCATTCCGAAGGCTTTTCGCTACGACGGCGTCCGCGAGCGGCGGCGTTCTGCGGTTCCGGAGGTGCAGCAGGGGTGAGTCCCTGGACGGTTCCCGGCGGAAGTCTGAATCCGGCATGCCGTGACACTAGTGCCGAAGACAGCAGCCAGCATCCTAGTGATACTGATTCTCAACCATCTTTTGCAGGAAATGCGTCGATTCGCACTTCACTGGAGGATACACAACAAGGTGCCTCAGAGCTGGATGCAAAAAGCTTCGTTTTGGCCGGTTTTGTTGGCCGCCGTACACCCATACTCGTTGATTCTTTCATGGCCGACTGATGTGGGACAGGTTGCGAGCCACTTCAATCCCCGAGCTGCAGCATGTGAGGCTCCTTTTCAAGATTCCAGGTGTTGGCGGCCGTGCTTCCTCTCTCAGCTGTTATTGCTGCTGTTCTTCGTGTGCTTGGTATGATTATGTGTTGTGGCTGTCTACTACTATGACGACGACGACTACTATTACTACTACTACCACAACTACTCCTGCTGTTGCTACCACCACCACCACCAACACCACCACCACCACCACCACCGCCACCACCATCACCGCCACGACGACGACGACGACGACTGCTACTACTACTACTACTACTACTACTACTACTACTACTACTACTACTACTGGTCCTGCTGCTGCTACTGCTGCTGCTGCTACCACTGCTGCTGCTACTGCTGCTACTAGTACTACTACTACCACTACTACTAAGGCACACGCTCGTAGGAGGAGTGGTGTTTGTCATGCGTTTCAAACAGAATGCAATCTTCAGGTTTGAGAATCCTTACTGCGTTTTCGGCTGCAACGCAAGGTTGAATGTGCAAAAAAGGGTGCGTTTAGGCTCATGAAGTGCCGAAAGTACTGGCAGGGCCGACAAAAACGCGCATTACGCAGCTGCGGGTGTCAGAACTCACGAAGTCGTTTTTGAAGGTTTGGTATGTTTCTTTTGTTGCGGGCGCTTTACGCCAAAGGAAAGCACTACACGCACAGTATGTTGTACAAAGAGGCAAAACGCTGTAAACACTAGTGTTTTGGGCATGCTCGCCAAAAGCATAGATGCTTGTGACAACTTGTTTTGCTCCACACCTTGCGCAGTATGTTGCAAATGGATGCTTGTGACAACGTGTCTTGCTGCACGTCCTTGCGCAGTATGTTGTGCAAAGAGCAAAAATGCTGTAAACACCAGTGTTTTGGGCATGATCTCCAAAGGCAGTGACATGAACGTCGTGCAAACTGCCTCCCAAACGCATGAAACCACCATTCCTCCTACGAGAGTGTGATACTCCTACTACTACTACTACTACTACTACTACTACTAGTACTACTACTACTACTACTGCTACTACTTCTTCTACTACTACTACTACTGCTACTACTACTACTACAACCACTACAACAACAACTACTACTACTTCTACTATCACTTCTACTACTTCTATTGCTGCAACAACAACAACAACTACTACTACTACGACGACGACGACTTCTACTACTACTACGACTACTACTACTACTACTACTACTACTACTACTACTGCTACGACTACTATATACTGCTGCTACTACTACTACTACTAGTAGTAGTACTACTACTTCTACTACTACTACTACTACTACTCCTGCTGCTACGGCTACTACTACTACTACTACTACTACTACTACTACTACTACTACTGCTACTACTACTACTACTACTACGACGACGACTTCTACCACTACTACAACAACAACAACTACTACTACTACTACTACTGCTACTGCTACTACTGCTACTTTTTCTACCGCTGCTGCGTCTGGCGCTGCAACTACTACTCCGACTGCGGCGACCATTGTTACTACGACGACGACCGCTACGAGGACGGCGGCGACGACTAATACTACGACTTCGACGACGGCGACGGTTGCTACAAAAGTTGCTGCTGCCATCGCTTCCACTACCAACGCTACTACTGCTATTCTGATATTGGCATCTTTTCTGCTTTTAGTTGCACTGTTCTTATTGGAGTCGGTCTGAGTCTGAGTCTCATAGTTGACTCGTTCCTCCTCCTGCTCCTGCTCCTGTTCCCTCATCATCATCACCGACTACATTGTCGTTGCCAGGAGTATGTTCTTTTGCCTTTTTCGGTGCAGTGTATGTCGCTTGTCGTTAATTCTCCTTCTTCCCCATCCTGCCATTGTCACCTCTCTTCTAACCATGCGGAGGGAAGCAATCGCTTCAGGCTGCCTACGAGAAGTTGCTGCTCTGCAGCCCGCAAAGCTCCGAATTTGAGGCTGCCAGGACGGATTCCAAAACCCTAAACCCTAAACCCCAAACATCCCCAAACCGAAGATTTCGTAGTCGGCCACCGTGGACGGCTGGCAGACTGGACTTTCTGGCTTCGCTGCAGGCATTATGGTTCCTCTCATGTTGAGCGGTGGTTTTCGGTCCCAAGCATCTTCCGCACAGAAAGCAAGAAAGTAGCTGTCCAATAGCAAAAAGAAACGGATATCAGCCCATTCTACGGTACTATAATAATAAGGAGCCTCCAAAAGAGTATAGGTGATTATTACAGTAAATATACTATACTTATAATAAGTATCACCCAAAATAGTATAGGTACTTGTTAAGTGTTCTGTGTGCTCCGGAGCCGCACCGGAATTCTAGCCAAATTTGCCGGCCATGGCCTCGATCACAAGCTCCAGGAAGCGACCGCTTGAGGCCAGTCCTTTCTGAGGCTTAATAAGTACCTAGACTATTTTGGGGGTTCCTGATTATGATTATAGTATACTATAGGGGCCTTAATCATTGCCTATACTCTTTCGGGGTCATTATTATTATTATTATAGTAGAATGGGCTCCCTTCGGGGTCATTATTATTATTATTATAGTAGAATGGGCTCCCGAAAGCCGACTGCGGCCTGCAGGAGGATGCCGACCTTCGCGAGATGGTTCTCAGTCAAATCGAGGCCAGGTCGTGGTCTTCCGCGTGCGGCTGGTGCCATGTGGGAGTTTCTGATTATAGGGGACCCTAATACAGTACCCTAAATAGTAGGATCCGTACTACAAGGACGCCAAAATGAGGCACCCCTAATTTCCGGAAACTCCCATGTCTGCCTGAGCGAAGGCTGCCTTGTCTGAGTCGCGGCCAAGCAACAAGTACATCATTGTGTCGCATCCCTCCATGAACCATATCAAGCGCCTTTGCTGCCTCGGCCAAGAGTAACAGGTCGCAGGGAGAGCGTCCCCCACAACTGAGGGACGCGCTCATCAAACTCGCGCCTCAGTCGTACTCTGAGGCCAGGCACCGCAAATCTGCACCAGTGCCACAGCATCTGTCGGCCAGCAGGTGAAAGTCGACTGGCGCATGCCGGACAGCAAGAAGGACAATGATTGGAAGAAGCAGTTGCGCAAGTGCGCGCTGTTTCGTGCGGCACCTCTGGACGAAACCAAGGTGAGTTCGAGTCTGGCATGCCCAACATCTTCATCGAGGAGGTTCACAGACTGCTGCCTGCCCACGTACTCCTCCTGCTGAACATGCGACGCAGGGGCCACAGAGCATGGCCATGCGCAGCTTAGAAGCCTGCGTGATTTCTTCGTCTAAGGCAAGGAGATCCTGCTGGATCAGCCGCTTGTCTCAGGATTGGTACTGTTGATGATATAAATCCTGCATTACCCACAGTAAGGAATATACCATAATTCCCTTAGTCTAGGGTCATTAAGGTAATGCAGGATTAAAATACCAACACTATTTTGGGGGTTCCTTATTATAACTATGGTATATCAGGCCCAAAACCATGATTATTAAGGCGCCTATTGTAGTACTTGGCAGTAGCTTTGGGAGCTTCTCTTCACTTCCGAGGCTCTCCCTGCTCTATGCCATTCCGAGATATGGCTGTAGGTCCCTGACCGTGCTGTTGCCTTTCTTCCCAACAGGGACCATGGAGCAACTTCGCCTGCAGAGAAAGATGGATCGCATGAACCAGGAGTCTGTTTTTGATGGTTCACTCAAAACTTAGGCGCGTAGATCGAGAAGGGGAGGTGGCCACTGCCTCCACGCTTTCACGGATGATCTCAGCTGTGCCCATGACTCCCGGTGGACCCGCTCGGTTCTTGATCTTCGACATTCACGCCCTGCAAATCAGGTCGGGGCTGTGGTGTTGCCGTTTGCTAGGGCCCCATTGCCAGGTAGCACCTGTCCAGGTTTTACTTTCAAGACAGCATCCTTCCAGTTCTGCTTTCCGCGATGCCTTTGCTGCTGAATCTGCTGAAGACACGCCCCTCGACCTCGCAGAGAGGGCACGTCTCCTCTCCTTGCTTTTCGGAAGCGTCACAGCTAAGGATTCAGCACAGAGGCTCGGCAGATGCAAAGTTGACGTAGATCCCACTTCGGTTAAAAAGGGAGAGGAAGCATCCAGAGAGTGGTTTGGAGGCTGTTGCGGTGGCTTTCCCAGACGAGGGAGCCAAAAAGCGCTTCGGCGGATTCTTCGAAAAGGCTGGCTATCCTGTCTCGTCCTCGGCCGTCTGCACACATTCTACCGCACTGTGATTACAGGGAGTCGGTCAGGTCCTCTTCTGCAGCAAAGTTCGCGAAGGAGAGAAGAGAGTAGTTCGAGTTGCAGAAGGCGATCCTGAAGGAAAGCACGTCTTCATTGTTGACGACCTCTGCAACACAGGCCCGTTTACAGACATGCCGCGTGTGATTTTTGATCCCCTTCAAAACTGCCTTGATGTCGGAGTTTTAGAAAAGGAGGGAAATCTAGCAAGCCACCCAAAATTTCTGAAAATCATCGTCGCTGCATCTGTTTCCGACTCTCAGCTCGAAGATGAAGAAGGCGTGCATGGTTAGTGTGGGAGCCATCTTCGTAGCCTGCTTGAGCTATGCTGCAATGCGCCCCACTTCGGCAAATACGTCTGTCTGGGTCATCATAACCTCCAGACGGGACGGATTCAAGCGGCGAGTTGCGACGAGAGAGCTTTGGCAAGATGCGAGCTGCGACCAGTGCAAAGTGATCTTTCAGTTCGTTGTCTGCAAAAAGCCGCCGCTCTCGGCCAGTGATGCTGCGCAGCTCGATGCCGAAGTCAAGTCCTTCGGAGACGTGCAACTTTTAGATTGCGAAGAGGGCTACGACAAGGGCAGACTGGTTTCGAAGGTCTTGGCCGGTATGAAGGACTTCATTTCGCGGTCCTCCGGGGCGGTGGCTTTGAATCTATTGGCAGAAGATTCTAGTGGCTTAGCACTTAGGTCCTTAGGTTGAACCGCCCACTCCTATGCGGTCCGCTCCCCAGCCTTGATTTTTAGGGACCCCAAAAGGACAGAAGCATAAGCATTTCATAGGGATATCCCTACCTTCTCTGGCTTCAGTATAAGGGGGCTTTTGCCCCTGTTGCGCAAGGACTATTTCATGAAGGTCGACGACGATGCCTTCGTGGCCTGGAGCCGCCTGTGCCCGAGGCTACAGCAAATTTCTCCCAAGAGCTATGCCTATGTGCCTCCTCCTGCATTTTTAGGGCGTAGGGGTTTAGGGATTGGGGTTTCGTTTCCTGCTTAGAGATGGCGTTAAGTGAAGCGTTCTTCCTCTCGTAAGTTCTGGGAACGAACCCGTAGCCTCCAAAAGCTTCTCCGGTTTAGGGTTTTTAAGGGGTTTTAGGGTTTAGGGTTTAGGGCTCTGTTGGGGTTTCTATGGTCCCTCGGGATCTATGCTTCTGACGATTGCATTCTTTTCGGCTTTGCATGCTTTGCAAAAGGGTGTGTCTTTGATCCTGCGCTCAGTAAGGCTGGGGTGCCAGATATGGTGAACAGGACCGACTGGTGGTTCAACAACACAGAGAGTCCTAACTACGATCCATGGGACAACTGGCCATTTCCTTTCTATCCTTTCCACATGGCAGGCGGGCCCGGATATGTGATTGGGTCCGGACTGCTTCGAGCTGTTGCAGAAGAACTTATGAGGCCCCCTTTGTCTTGGAACGAGGACAAGGCAGTGGGAATTGGCGTTCACAGAGCGAACTGGAGTGGCTTACCAGTGAGTTACCACTACCTTCACATGGATGATGGCGAATCCGATGACTTGCCGTTCACCGGCAATTGGAGCGACTACCCATTTTTATCACAGCATCAGTTGAGCGGGGAGTCGATACGCTGCTTACACCGAGTCGAGAAGGAAGGAGGCCGTGTGGATGCTTGCTACCTTCACACTCCCTGGTTGCGTGAGTTGCTGCGATAGAAGCAAGACGGCGATTGACGCAGTGCAAGCAAGCGCCCATTCATCCACTCCGTGGCAACATGCGCACTTCTGTCAGAGGTCAAGAGATGCAACATCTACTTCCGCATGTTGGGTGTGAGAATGCAGGAACAGGACCTGGAGCACGGAACTAGCTGCTGGGAGTTGCGCTTGTCATGGTTGCTGCAGGAAACGTGCATCCAACCGAGCCACGCAGACGACACTGCAGCAGGTCAAGAAATGCTACCGTTGAATCGCGGCATGGGTTTTCTCCTCAGGGCGCCAGCGGACGAATCTCGATCGGCTGAACTGAAAACAGTGCTCAGCAGCTGACCTGTCACGACTGGTTTCTTAGCCTGTGCGGTATCATCGCTGCGCCTTCATCCGCCATTTAGGCTCAAGGCTTTGTTCTGCGACTACCTAGTTGGGCTTATCGCAGACTGCCTCTCCTCACCATGTGGCAGCGTTTCTTCCTTAGTCTCTTTGCCGTGGGGCGAGCCTCCGAGACCATGCATGTGGTTGATCTGGCGCAGGCCACGGCGTAGCCTAGGGAGACTCATGTCCGTGCATTCGAAATGTTAGGTAAGAGGCTACTGAACAGAGTTGCCGCAAGATCGAGGGAACAGCGGTCAGCTCAACTGCGTCTGTGAGTTGTGCAGGTCATGTGCCCAAAGCCTGTGAGCAGCAATCCCAATGCTCCTCCACTGCCGGATTACAACCTGTACATCCCATTCACGAGCTCCGTCGACATGGACTCCCCGTACATTATCAGCTTTGTCCGCGCAAGTCAGCAGGTGCAGGATGAAAGTTGATCACCCAGTCTCTAGAGGGATCGCTTCCGGCATAGTAATTTCGTGCAACTTCTCTCCATGTTCCCCTAAACCCTAAACTCCCTAAACCCTAAGCCCGTTTAGACGTTGGTATGCCGAAGCTTCCTGGGCCTGCAGGCCATGACGATCGACTTCTCAATCGTGGACGCGAATAATGTCACGGTGATACCTGACACCGTCGTGACCCTTCAAGAGTTGTCTAACACTGTGGACAACAATTGCAGATGTACCATGCCCACCATTCCAA